TATTATTATTATTATTATTATTATTATTATTATTATTATTATTATTAGCCACCCATCTTGTGGTTCAAGGTAATTCTGAGTAGCTTACTGTAAGATAAAATATACAAATATCCAATTATAAATACAAAAACAGATGAATATTACAAAAATGAAAACTAACTAAAATAAAAGCTTGATTCTAGATTCTTAAACTGTCTATAATGCCTGCCCCCATTGTACCAGAATAACGTTCTGATACAGTACATTCCATTTGCCAGCATAGTCTATTTTGATGCCCATTTGATTTCCTTGTTCTTTTCTCCATATGTTCAGCCTTTCTGTTCAACCTCCAGAATGTTTCAAATCTGCATTCTATTGTACTGAGATTCTAGAGCTGCAAATGACAGACACAGCTGCAGCTCATACAAAAAATACAAAATTGATTTTATTAAGCAAATAAAACTCAAATAATAGATTAACAATGAAATGAAATAAATACATTAAAGAGAAAAATGCAAATGAATGTTGTTTTTACATAAATATATAAAATATATACAAAACACAGATTATTAATATCAAGCCAAGTAAACCTAATTTGTTGTCACTGTTTTTTCAGTTTAGCTTTCCAAAGAACAACTACTTTCCATAAGTTGAGTGGCGATATAAATCAAATACATAAATGGCTCATAATCTCATCACAGCCATGATGGCGAACCTATGGCACACGTGCCGGAAGTGGCACGCAGAGCCATTTCTGCCCACACGCGAGCCGTCGCCCAGAACCGATCCACTGAGCATGTGTACGTGCCTCCCACCAGCCAGCTGATTGTCGAGTATCTGCCGTGCATGTATGGGAGGCGGGGCATGTTCACAGGGGCCACACATGCATGCACAGAGGTGCGCAATGTGCAGCAGGGGTTGTGCGTGCATGCGCAAGGGGTGGGGGGGTGTCACGCATGCATTGTATTATGGATACAGGCATGCGCATGTGCACTTTCAGCATGCAACAACGAAAAGGTTAGCCATCACTGAATTACAGCATTCCCATCGAGGAAGGTATGAGCAACTGATATAATTTACTTTCTGTACTAGAAAAAATTAAATTATGTTGGTGTCTTTCAATTGCTGATATGAAACAGTTTCCAGTTCCTTATTATTTATGAAATTATCATTTCTGCAACATTTAAAACATGAGTGTGTATATTGAAATTAAGTTTATAGTTATCTACTATAATACACGTCAGAGAACTTTTACATTATCTGCTATCTACTCTTTAAAGCTCGTGACAAGGACTGAAATGGAGAACTTTTGCCTGCAAAGAATATGAACTATATGAATATGAACTGAGCTATGGTCTTCTACAAATTCTACAAATAATATTTGTTTCATATCTCACACAAGGAATTAGATTCCATCGAGTCTGAAGTTATGTCTCAGGAAAGAAAAAAAATATGTTGTTAAACATTAAAAACTACTCAAGGAAAGGAAAGCATTGAGCTTCTCCTTAAAATAATTGGTTTATAATACCAATTTTGTATTAACACTGCAAAGACTATAGTTATGTAACACGTGATCCACATTATAGTACTGTTTTTTATTTTTAGCAGAACTTCCAAGCTATGTTATTACTATCAGTTTGGTACTCTGTACCAAAGGATTATTTAGGTTTGTTTTAATAAACATTCCTAAGCTTTTTTGAGATGTCAATAAATAAGAGGAGTTGAAAAATTATATTTTATGTAATGATTATTCAGTTCTTAAAAAATAATCTCAAGTCGTTTGCCTACATATTTACAGTATATGAGCTTCCAAGACTTATCTAATCACTAAGATTACTACCAATATGTTCAAAATTAATAGATTCCATAACTTTTAAATCTATATACTACTAAAACTTATGTATCTGTAACATTTAACTGGGCAAAATGGTATACTATAGGGCAAGACTTTTTGAACCAAGATACTTCAAACTGCTTACATCCAAAATCCTGAACCTACCGTAGAACCTCTGACTCTGATGGAATTGAAATTTAGTAAATTTTATAAACAAATTACATCATAAAATTATCATTAAACATTTTATGACATAATATAAAATGTCATAAAATTTCTTGTGCTCAACTCCTGATGTTTGATTGTGCTATATAATTCAACATTACCTATTTTCAAGGCTTATGCATTTCTGAATATCTCCCTGAGTTTTAAAAGACTTTTCCAGTGAAGGCAGTACATTAGAAGCTCTGTTTTTATTGAAGGCATTGAGGAATCTGGTAAGAAAATATATCTGAAACTACCACCAAGTTGATTATAGGGTGTCTATATATTTAAGGTTCTTAAATCAGTTTTATAAAGATGACAATGCCATTGAGAATCTGCAAAGTAACATTACTACTCTTGCAAATTTACAAACCACTAGAAGTGTGTGGATATATAAAATTCAAACCATTATCATGCTAGAATCTGATCCAAGCACCTTATGTATTTACAGATGGTTCTCAACATAAGGCCATTTATTTGGTGATCATTCAAAGTTACAGCAGCAATGAACAAACTTATGACCCATACTCAAAGTTACATCCATTGCAGTGCCCCCATGGTCACGTGATCAAAATTTGGGTGATTGGTAAATACCTACAATCACAAGAGTGCTGCAACTCCCCTCACCCATCTCCCCTACTATCTCTGCCCTTTCGGCTACTGTGCATTCTGCCTTGAAGGCAGCAAGTAGCCCCAGAGCTTCAGGGTACCCAAAAGCCATCTTGATATCCATGGATCGGAATTGCCCAGGGATTGCAAGGAAAGGATCCAGCAGAATTGTGTCAAACTAGGATCTGGTTTTGCCACCTGCTTTTTCCTGTGCTTTTGCATTCCTCTTCCCAACCCTCATTTGCCTATTAGGTTTTTCCAGGATAAAAACTGTAGCACCCCCACTTCCCCAACCCTATGGTTACTCTACGTCTGCAGACATTAAGTTGCCCTCTTTAAAAAAAACTGCTGTCAAAGGAAGATCCAAAGGAACAAGGCAAACTAAACTGGAGTCAGAGTTCCACACTTCCTTTGCGCACCCACACCCGTACAACCCTCCAATTTGGAAGAAAGACCTCAAAGAGGGTTCAAGCAATGGGCTCCTCCCAATCACTAATCACTAGTAGAACCAGATTGGAAGCCAAATGAAAACAGCAGACTAGATTTTCTTTAAATGATTTTTCCCCATTTTATTTACGCATATTATTATGCTGAATATCTCACTGAATGGAAGGACCAGAATCTTAATTGGCAAATAGGTTTACCTTAGTCCTGTAAACATAAACTTCAATGTTTCATAAGGAATTACACCAAAATGCTATTTATTCAAGGCAGATCTGGGGGGCGAGGAAGTTTATATGTGCATCTTCCAATGACCCTCTCTCTGAAAAACGCCCCAAACAATAAGGAAGTTCACAAAATTATATTATAGTTGTATTGTGTATTTTGTTTAGCTCTCATTGTATGACAACGTGCAACATGTTTATTCCCAATAAACAGAAAAGGCTGGCAGCTCAAGCGAAGGAAGTTTATTATACCAACTGATAAGACTCACACTAAGAGACGAAATGTTGCATAATAAGCAAGGGACAGAAGAGACAGGCCACCTGCCACGCTTTCCGAAAAGCACTTTTTCCTCCTTAATGGGCAACCTGACGGACTAGAAACTTACATCTAAAGAGGTGCCATCAGAAACCCTTCCGTTTTAAAGAGGCATGCATTAACAGCGGACCAGAGTTCAGGAAACTACGTAGGCGCAGCCTTCACAGCACATGCAGCCATAAAGGTCCCTAGACCCGTATATAGAAAGAAGAGCCGAGCGCCAAAGCGAGGAAGAAATCCCGCCGAAAGCAGCAAAGAAAGCAAGGCTTGCGGGAAGGCAGGGCGTTAACTCCCACCGCGGGGCCTGACAGTGAAGCTATGCGGACACTGCCCTCCAAACAGGCTTTCCCCGCAGCAAGAGACACGCCCGCTTGGCAGGCGACTACAGCGAGCACAACTGCGCCTTCCATCCTCGCCCCGCAAACAGCAGCCGCGAGCGGGAAAGTTCACGCCGCCCCCGCTTTAAGTGTCCAGAGGTCGCCGAGTGACGGTTGGTTGTTTTTTTCTCTTCTTCCCCTCACTCCCCTCACCCCCTCTCGCGCCCTAGCGCGCGACACGGAGGGCTAACAGGAATCCAAGCGAACACTCCCTAGCAACGGCCGGGAGCTAAGGGTGGGTGCTCGCATGCCTGCGTCGGGTTTCAAGAATGGGCAGCACGCGCCCTTGGCCCCTCCCTCTGCCTCCTCCCACTCCTTTCTTTCTTCCCCCGAGCCGGGCGCGCACACATACTGCGGAGGTTGTGGATGAGCTCCGAGTGGCTCGTGCCTCCAGACTTCCAGGCCATGGTTAGACAGACTCTGCGGAGCAGGTAGAGAGCCGCCTTCAGTGCCGCGACTGCGCACAGGAGTTTCCCCAGGAAGGACACAACCTCCAGCGCCGACACAGGCGCCGCCTCCTCTCCTCCAGCAGCAGCGGCTGCTGCTGCGCGTCCGCCGGAGGGAGGGACTGCTCCCCCGCCTCCTCGCGCCCTCGACATTCTGAACGGCCGCTGCCGCCGCCGGGCAACCGGGGCCGGTATGCGCAGGCGCAGTTAACCGAATAAAGGGGATACTGGCGAGCCAGTGAGGGAGGGGTTAGTGGTCTTGACTGAGGAGGGAGGAGGAGGAGGATTTAAAGGTGGTGTCGTTGGGGGTGGGTGGGTGGGGGAAATGAAGATGTCTCCTTTAAACGGAAGCATGCGATGACAATTCTATATATAACTCAACAGCAGCTTGGGATGTGAGGTGGAAGGTTCTTAGAGTGGGGCTGAAAGTTTACAAAAATGCTTTTCACACACTTGAAATAGGGTGATTAAACACTGCTTGTAGGCATATAAACAGCCATATGCGTCTTATATATGTGCACTAAAGCAGTGAACATATGTATAAATAGCAGTGTGCTGTGTTCATACTATGCATACTGTTGGGTCTGTGTGTTGTGTGGACTTCACCAGAGTGTTAGTGGATGGCTCAAGGTGGCAAACACAGGCAATTGTAAGATGTGTCAGCTGAACATGGATTGTGTAAAACACCAAAGAAATGCTGTACTAGCATCTCATGGCAGGATCATAGCTGCTTCTCAAATTAATGTTGACCCAAGCATTTTTTTCCTCAGGATTCTCTCCTTTCCCACCCATCTGCCTGTTGTATTTATTTCACCTCCACTTACAAAGTATGAGGATTGAGTGAAAAAAAAAGATTCTGATGTCAGTTGCCATAAAAGGTAGTTAGAAACGCTGAAATGTTATTTTATTTTGGTTGTTGGAAAGTACAGTAGTTTTGAAAGTAACAGGTAAGCAATATGCCATGACTGAATTTTTGACTGCTGAAGAAGTCCGTTCAATTGAAATTCACTGCTGAAAGCAAGTTCTTTACTGTGATGATTACATTGCCATAAGTATAATTATTGCTGGACCAAAAATATAAATACGATGAACCAGAAAGAGCTGATTTGTATGATCAAAAATGGAAGTGAAAGATCTGCAATAACATCATCGATCTGATGAACTGATTCAGAGCAATTAAATCACTCAAAGGGAGATGCTGTCTATCTTTGTATTGCACTGGAATACGTGCGACACATTATTGATATTCTTCAATATCAGCAGTACAGTTGTGTGCACAGTGACAAAGTATTTTTACTGACAATGACAAACTGCTTTATTATGCTATTTTATGATTTTCAAATATTTTGTACATTTTTCTGTGTTATCCAAAGGGTCCTGTTAGGAGGGCTATATTATTAATTTTGGAGGATGACTTGCTTTTAAACACTTCAAAATAGCCTTCTGTCTTTCACTTGTTAATATATAAATTTCCTTTACCAGAATATGTATTTATATTCTAATGAGATACAAGTAAAAAAATCTGGTATTAATGTTTGCTGTGCCATGGGAATTAAATATGTATTGTCTGATGAGATTAATTTCATATTGCTTGTCACTTTAAATAAACAAAAATAAACATGTTTATTAGACATGGAGTTCTAATAAAAAATTTCTGTAGTATTTCAATACAGTGTATATTTTTTGAAAATTAGCAAAATGGATTTGCAGTTAACCAATAGACCTGTTTGCCGTGATAGTGAAGCTCCACAGAATCAGACTTTACTGAAAACTTGTTTAATTCTGTAGAGGTTAAGAGTTTTATATAACGCATTGTAAATAATTTTATAAACTTAATTTTTGAATAAAAATAATTTGAAGCAGTCATGGATATATATATACACTGCTCAAAAAAAAAAAGGAACACTTAAACAACACAATGTAACTCCAAGTCAATCACACTTCTGTGAAATCAAACTGTCCACTTAGGTAGCAACACTGACAATCAATTTTGCATGCTGTTGTGCAAATGGAATAGACAACAGGTGGAAAGCATAGGCAGTTAGCAAGACATCCCCAATAAAGGAGTGGTTCTGCAGGTGGTGACCACAGACCACTTCTCGGTTCCTATGCTTTCTGGCTGATGGTTTGGTCACTTTTGAATGCTGGCGGTGCTGTCACTCTAGTGGTAGCATAAGACGGAGTCTACAACCCACACAAGTGGCTCAGGTAGTGCAGCTCATTCAGGATGGCACATCAATGAGAGCTGTGGCAAGAAGGTTTGCTATGTCTGTCAGTGTAGTGTCCAAAGCATGGAGGCGCTACCAGGAGACAGGCCAGTACATCAGGAGACGTGAAGGAGGCCGTAGGAGGGCAACAACCCAGCATCAGGACTGCTACCTCCACCTTTGTGCAAGGAGGGACAGGAGCACTGCCAGAGCCCTGCAAAATGACCTCCAGCGGGCCACAAATGTGCATGTGGCTGCTCAAACGGTCAGAAAAAGACTCCATGAGGGTGGTATGAGGGCCCGACGTCCACAGGTGGGGGTTGTGCTTACAGCCCAACACCGTGCAGGACATTTGGCATTTGCCAGAGAACACCAAGATTGGCAAATTCGCCACTGGCGCCCTGTGCTCTTCACAGATGATAGCACATTCACACTGAGCACATGTGACAGACGTGACAGGATCTGGAGACGCTGTGGAGAATGTTCTGCTGCCTGCAACATCCTCCAGCATGACCAGTTTGGCAGTGGGTCAGTAATGGTGTGGGGTGGCATTTCTTTAGGGGGCCGCACAGCCCTTCGTGTGCTCACCAGAGGTAGCCTGACTGCCATTAGGTACTGAGATGAGATCCTCAGGCCCCTTGTGAGACCATATGCGGTTGGCCCTGGATTCCTCCTAATGCAAGACAATGCTAGACCTCATGTGGCTGGAGTGTGTCAGCAGTTTCTGCAAGACGAAGGCATTGATGCTATGGACTGGCCTGCCCATTCCCCAGACCTGAATCCAATTGAGCTAATCTGGGACATCATGTCTTACTCCATCCATCAATGCCACGTTGCACCAGACTGTCCAGGAGTTGGAGGATGCTTTAGTCCAGGTGTGGGAGGAGATCCCTCAGGAGACCATCCGCCACCTCATCAGGAGCATGCCCAGGCATTGTAGGGAGGTCATACAGGCATGTGGAGGCCACACACACTACTGAGCCTCATTTTGACTTGTTTTAAGGACATTACATCAAAGTTGGATCAGCCTGTAGTGTGTTTTTCCATTTTAATTTTGAGTGTAACTCCAAATCCAGACTTCCATGGGTTGCTAAATTTGATTTCCATTGATAATTTTTGTGTGATTTTGTTGTCAGCACATTCAACTATGTAATGAACAAAGTATTTAATAAGAATATTTCATTCATTCAGATCTAAGAGGACTTATTTTTGTGTTCCCTTTATTTTTTTGAGCAGTGTACTTGTTATTCTGAAGTTTCCAGATTTAATGTTGGTGTCTCTGGTTAAATGAGCTGAGTAACTGCAACCTGAGATATTGGAAAGCCACTGTCAGTCAGGCAATATGAAGAAATAAAATGTAAAGTCATTTCACTGCTAACCCATTCCAGACGCCTTTAGGGCACTCATTATGTCTCAAATTAATCTACTTCCAAGGGAATGTTGCTGTGAGGCACTTGTACTGTGCAAGTTCCTCTGCCTTGGGTTATAAGCATAATAATTAGTAAGATTTATGCCTATGTATATCTATGTAAATAGTCATAAAATTTAATTTTATGAATTAAATGCAGTCTTATTCAAGGATGCAAATAAATTAGTGGCTATTTTTTAAATTAAATGTGATACAGATAGTCCTCAACGTATAACAGTTCACTTAGTAACCATTCAAAGTTACAATGGCACCGAAAAGGACGTGTGACTGTTTTTCACACTATGACCATTGCAGCATCCCCATGGTCACGCAATTTACATTCGGATGCTTGGCAACTGACATACATTTATGACAGTTGCAGTGTCCTGGAGTCATGTGATCATCCCCTTTTACAGCCTTCTGACAAGAAAAGTCAATGGGGAAAGCAGATTCACTTATTGTTACTAATTTAACAACTGCAGTGATTCACTTAAATGTAAGCAAGAAAAATTGTAAAATGGGGCAAAACTCACTTAACAAATTTCTCACTTAGCAACATAGATTTTGGACTCAGTTGTGGTCGTCAGTTGAGTACTACCTGCACTTTGTCTTCAGTGTTACTTCGTGCTGCTGTAGCATTAAATTTCATATATGACATGCTGCTGCTTCTCTCAGAATTGTGGAACTGTTATATAACTGTCTACCTTTAGAAAAGTTTTTCTTGAGTTAAACTCCATTCCTATAGTTTCATGGATGTGTCTGTGTAAATTTCTTAGCAGTAGTATGGAAATCATCATTGTTGCTTTTGGAGAATGTTTAACATTTTCCTATTAAATATACAGTACTGAGATTCCCCAGTGGGTTCCCCTCCAATTATTAACCGGGTTCAATCCTGCTCATCTTTTTGAGATCAGGCAAAGACAGCCAGGTGTACATCAATACAAATTGAAAGCTAAATGACAAAAACAGTTTCAAAAATAACCTGGAATAGTTTTTGAATATGCTCACGAATTCTCCAGGAACTGAGCTAGACTCAAGGGAGATTTTATCTTTTAAAAGGAATTATAGGGAAACATTGAAATTTAATCAGCAGAAGCATGTCTTCTTGATTCAGCAAGATGTATTAAATTCAGTGAGGCTCCTGTTGTCTTCTAGCCTCCTTGCTATCTGTACTGAAAGGCTTCAATTCCCAAAATTCTCATCCAGGCATTTTAAATCTGTTGTTAAGGGATTCTGGGCGCTGTAGTAGTCTCCATTCTGCCAAGTTGGAAAATGCATTGATACTACTGTAGGCTCCAATCATGCAATGCAGAGCTGTGCATATTGTATATACTGTAGATGTAAAATCCTGTGCATTCAGTAAGGCTTACTCCTTAATAAATTAGTTTAGGACTTGCAGCTTAATGACATCGGCTTTTCTATATCTTTTCAATTACTCGTGCGTAGCGACATTGTGAGATATAGTGCAGAGTGCCACTCATCCTAAATCCAGGCAAATATTTAATCTCTGAGTTAGATACTCCAACTTTCGGAAAGCAAAAACCTAGACATTCAAGGGAAGACGCATCCTACTCGCGACAGCATCGGAATTCTCAGTCCTTTAGTTTAAGGCGCAGGTACAGCGCTTTTTGTCCTTCTTCGCATTCCGTCTCTCGTGACGTTTGCGAGCCAATCAAGAGTGTGGGTTTGAAAGCCTACGGCGTGATCTTGCTGAGCGGGAGCGAGAGTCTCTCCCCGAATATGGAGGACGTAGTGGGCAAGTATGTATCTCAGAAAATCAGCAAGACCCGCTGGCGGCCCGTATCTGCCACTGCCTTGCAGCCTCCCGAGATTTTCGCCACCGGCTCGTGGGATAATGAGGTAAATCGGACGCCTGCGTGACCGGCGTTCCTCCTTCCTCAGGTCTTTCGACTTTCCTCCCTAACCACCTTTTCGACTTTTCCCCCACCTTTTCGACTTTTCTTCTGTGCCCTCCAACTGTCATGCTCGCGAAAACTTGATGCGCTTGCTTTTCTCGATGTGGAGTCTTCCTGAGCCACGGTCGTGACTTCCCCTTAGTTGTGGAGAGTTTAATCCCAAAGCTAATCCCTATTAGTTCGTGCGCTACTTGTTTTGTCGTCGGTGAATAGACCCATATTTTCCTTTCGTGAAGCACCACGTGGCTAAGAATTAAGAATGTTTAGTAATTTTAAGCTTAAATGCTGTTGCGTTCTTTTTAAATTTTGCCTCAGGGTTCAATAATTGTCAACTGAACTAAATTACTCCCATTTTACTGAAACTTAAATAGGAATATACTGGAGATAACGGAGCAGTGTATTAATAGTAATTAATACCGGTATCTGCCTTTGCTCTTTGGAAATGGAGCACAAAACAACCTTTTTTCAGAGCTACATATATATTAATTCTGAACATGCTTAATTGACAATCTATGCAACATGACAAAATATTTCAGTAATTATATATTTAAATATACAATAAAATATATAGTACTTTGTATACATAATTATCTTAGGTACTTTTCTAGATTATTTGAAAATGAGAAAATAGCAAGACCACTGTAGAATAGTAGTTAAAGCACTGGACTGAGAGTGGGGAGATCCTATCTTCTCTGTTCTACATCTGACTTTTCTTCAATAACATTTTATGGACATAATCTATACCTAGAAGCAGAAGTCATTAGTTATATTGTTGATATTGTAGCTACTATTTTCTGATAGTACCTATAGCCACAGAAACTCATTTGGTGGCTTTGGTACTGTCCTCCTTTCTCCTAGCCCAACTTACTTCCCTGGATTGTTATGAGAAAAATAGAAAATAGGAAGAAAAATAGGATACTTTGAGATCTTGTACAAAAGGTATACAAATTTAATAAATTACAAAATAGTAATTTGGTAAATGATAAACACATATTGTTTCATTAACATTGAACAAAAATATATATTTCTTATAATTTTACAGGAAAATAAGATTTCCATTTGGTCTGTTGGAGATTTGGTCCCAAACGGTGAATATCATGGAGAACCACATTTGCTTTGTGATATCCAACATAGTGGTGATGTTATGGATATGCAGGTAAAAATAGTTTAAATACTTTTTAGGAGGCCTCAAGATATGCATTATCTTTGCTTTAGAAGCTTCAAGATATTACAGTTCCATGCTTATAAAAGTAGGTTTCCAAATTCTTTTTTGCCATTATAATTAATATATACACTCTCACATAAAAATACAAACATGTATTACCATGCTAAATGTTTTTACACAAAAGATGAAATTTTTATTGTGTTAACGTTAGATTTTCCCCCCTAGTTTTTGGATCAGGAGAGAATTGTTGCTGCTTCATCTACTGGGAGTGTGGCCATTTTCCGGCATCATCAAAATAATCAGGTAAACGGTATTTGTTTTTAATTATCAGATAAATAGCACAAAAGCTACCAATACAAGGAAACTTGAATTTAAACTAGATAAGCACTATCTGTACTGTGAAACCTAGATCTTTCCTCTTTGGCAAAATACTTCGTTCAAAATTGTTAAGTAATCCTGTCTTTCACAGCTTTATTTTGTATATTCATTATTTATTTTGCAGTTAATTAGTTCATCTAAAGCCTTATGGAAGCAAAGCTGAATTTCTGTCTAGAAAAATTGGGTAGTCTGGTATTATTATTATCTTGTACACTGCCCTAGAGCTATTTTTTTCTAAAATAAAGTTTTCCTATCTTTGAAATTTGCTGTATAAAGTATTTATTTACTTAAATCCGTAGCCAAGTTGTTCTGAATCCTTAAAGAATAATACAGACATATAAATTTTTAATAGGGCCATCTTAATATAACTCTAAAAATGCAAGGGTGAATATAAACTCTTACAGTTGGTCCCACTGTAAACAAAAGGCTTCGTCAGCAGAGGTAAGTCTGTTGAGTTGACTATATAGACAAATTTTCTACCATTGATAGAAAGTGAATTACAGTTAATTGTTTTACAGTATTTTGTGTCCGTGCTTTGTGGGTTTTTTTTAATTCCTTGTCTTGCCCGCTGCCTTGGGATTTCAAAGTGTATTGCTGATGCCTAGAATTGAATTGTGCAACACTTAAGATTTTACTGATAGTAGGTTGCCAAGATATTTTCACAATATAAATCTGAGTCTTAAGTGAACAGTCTGAAATACTTAGTTATTAGAAAAAGGGAATTCTGGTTTTGCGTAAGTTTATTGACCCAAGCAGAATAATTGAGAGCTACATAGTGAAAATCATTATTGTAGTTGTGAAAATGCAATAAATCTCCCATATATATATTTTCATATAATATACAGATTGTATTTTTATGAATCTTCTATCATTTCAAATATTGCATAATTTTATATTAATTTGTATATAATCACTGTGCTTAAGTCTAGTCTGAAGTAGTATTTTGCCTGAAGCAACTTAGTAATTGAATTTTTTATGCAGTTAATGGATAGTTTGATTCTTTTTTCTTATATTTTAGACTCTTTCCTTAAATCAGAAATGGGAACAAGCACATTATTATGATCACTCCTGGGGAAGTGCATCATGCACTGGGATCATTTGCAATAGCCCTGAAATTTTTAGTATTGGAGAAGATGGTAGAATAAACATGTTCACCACTGACCGTAAGGAAGCTGTACGTACTATAGGTAGGCAGATAAGATTAATAATGAAGATGTAAATATATGCCAGCATATAAGGTATCTTACAGATTTTTCCAAAAGGCTCAGAATAGTAAAAGTATCAGTTTGCTTACTTATTTTCCTCTTTTAGCAGGAATTCAATTTTCACTATATACATTTGGAAACCAGAGTTATTTTATTGGGATAATAATTGTCATCGCATTTTAAAATACTAGAGGACTTTACTAAATGGAATGATTTGTGGCACATTCCCAAGAAAATTAGATGACAGCTTCCATGAATATAATTTCAATTGCGGTAGCTGCTTCCACCTAAATTTTAAATAATTCTGTACTGGTGCCCACCAGATTCTAAATCCACTTAGTAGGGTGTCCTGTGCATAAGGGGAAGTATTTTCCTGTGGAAGGTAGCTTTCTATTTTTCAGTATTATATTCTGATTGGACAGACAATATTGTATCTCAAATCTTCATGCTAAAGAATGCTGTATAGTTGCATTCACAAAGATTATATGAAAAGAATATACCAATACTTTAAAATTTTGTGAATTGCCCTTATTGGCATTGTAAAGCTATTATTTCTAGTATGCAGAAATTTTGAAGGTAGCATTGTTTTCTCAACTGAGCAATATCTGCAATATTGTGATTTATTGGAAAGAGTGCTACATAAGAATCTTTGCCCTTAGTTTAGGGTAATTGATTTCTGCCTCAATCCTTCATTGCATTTAGATTCACATGTAGAGTTGGTACACGAGAAATGGAGAATGCTCAAATTTGAGAGAATATGTGACAATGCTGTACTTGCTAAGTAATTTCATTCTATAATATGGCTATGTCACCAGATCTTGATAATTTTTTTAAAGAAGCATTAAGTATGAATGTTTCTTTTAATTTCTCATAGATAATGCTGATAGCAGTACACTCCAAGCAGTGACTCAACTTCGTACAACAGAGATTCTGACTGTCAATTCCATTGGTCAGCTAAAAATATGGGACTTCAGACAGCAAGGAAATGAACCTTCACAAATATTTTCATTGTAAGCATTTTGCTTTCATATAAAAAGTTCTGATGAAACCAAATTGTTATATGATAGGGATGTGCAAAATGCCTGCACAGCTGATATTAGGCAATCTATTTAAATTAAAATATGTGTTTTGGATGTTTTGTTCCAGATGCAAAATGAAATAAGACTGTTTTAATCTGGGTTACACTTACTTAGATGAGTGTGAGAAAAAGACAAGGACATCAGATTTGTCTATGGGGAAGTGAAGGAGAGAAAGAAAGACACTGGTAAGATCAGGCAGATCAGACTGCAACCCTGCTCCTTGTTGTCACCATAAGGAAAAGGGGTACAAACCACGCCAGTGACAGCCTGGAGACGAGCAGAGCAAAACATTGGGAAAACCTACAGGTTGGAGATATCCCTGATTGAAAGCTCTCAAGGGAGAGAGGTGGTACAGACCACTTTTGCCTGTTTAAAACTACTCTGGGATCCTTCTGGATTTTACTTCAGCTAAAACTCAGAACACCCAAAATCTTCTCGTTTTATTTTTACCAAAATAAGGCAGTCTGATACTTTTCAGCAGAAATTTTGAGGGCATGACAGTTTGTATATACTTCCAGGGTTTTAAATAGTGTTTGACAACAACCTTTGTGATTTCTTAATGTTTTTTCTACGTAGGACAGGGGAAAGAGTACCACTACATTGTGTCGATAGGCATCCCAATCAACAACATATTGTTGCTACAGGTAGTCAAGATGGAATGTTGAGTATTTGGGATGTAAGACAAGGCAGCATGCCAGTTTCCTTACTAAATGCTCATCAAGCAGAATGTAAGTGCCTAAACAAACAGGATAACAATTCTAATGTAGTAACAACTAGGGGAACAATCTTTCATCACATTGACACATCATCAGTGCTTGAAAAAAATATCTTATTTACTGCACTTCTCACTGCAAGGCAACTGCGGAGCGCTTACATTAAAAGCAGTAAAACTGTGTGTATGCACATGCACACACACTAAGAATACAAAATGGGAGGGGGGAGGGAGAAGGATGCACAATGGGTACATGGAATCTACTTTTAGTTCATTGAGGCCCAGGCCAACTGGCAGAGCCTGGTTTTCAGGCTCTTACGGAAGATTAAGAGGGTGAATATAGACTTGGGGCAAGATGTTCCAAAGAGCTGGTGCTATAACAGAGAGGACTCTTCTGGACTGCCAGCCAGAAATCATTGACAGACGGGACCAATAGCATGCCTCCTCTGCTGTTATGAGGGGTGGGTTTGTCACATTGGGGTGAAATGGTTTCCCGAGTAACTTGGACCCATGCCATGCAGGGCTTTAAACTTGTATTGCACCTGGGAGCAAACTGGCAGTCAGTGCAGTTCACAAACAGTGATGTAACAAGGGCCACTCTAGGGGCCCCAAACACTGTCCATGCTGTTGCACTTTGCACAAGTTAAAGCTTCAGAATGCTCTTCAAGGGAAGCCCTGTGTGAAGCACATTGCCAAGAGTTAGATGATCAGGGCTTCAATGAGTGCAGTAACTCCTGATCCAGGAAAGTCCACAACAAAGTTGTACAAAGGCTCTCCTAGCTGTGACTGCCATCTGCTCTTTGAAACAGGAGTTGTGAGTACAGGAGAACCCTCAAGTAGCAAACAGTCTATCTGGGACTATCTAAATGTGGTTTATTTAACAATCTGCTAAGGACTAAACCAAACTATCAGTACCATATCTGGAAGTGATTCTTATTCTTAGTCTAAAGCTGGGGTCCCCAACTCCCTGGCCACAGATCAGTACTGGCCCGTGGCTTGTTAGGAACTGGTCTGTGCAAGCAGCGGGTGAGCAAGCCAAGTTTCATCTGCACATGTGCAGGATCTAGGTTGTGCGTGAAACCATCCCACGCTCCCAATCTGTGGAAGCCAATTTTCCTTTCAAAACCAATCCCTTGTGCCAGTAAGGTTAGGGACTGTTGGTCTACAGGACTCTTAAGAAAGAAGTAATATAAGCATTAAACAATTTCAAGATGTCCTATGCCCATGAAGCAAACCTATGCCATACAGGCCGGAAGTGGCACACAGCCATCTCTCTGGGCACACCAGCCGTCGCCCATCACTTCTGGTTTCTGGCGTGCGCATGTACACTGGCCAGCTGGTCTTTGCGGGAGCGCCAGAAACTGGAAGAGCAGTTCTCCCAGCATACCAACTGGTCTTTGCAGGAGCGCCAGAAACCAGAAGAACTGCTCCCCCAACGCTCCAGCTGGTCTTTGCAGGAGCGCCGGAAACCAGAAGAGTAGCTCCCCCAGTGCGCCAGATGATCTTTGCTGGAGCGCTGGAAACGAAAAGAGGGGCTCCCCAGAGCACATGCATGCGCCAGCCAGATGGTCTTCGCACGCACCTGCGCGTTAGAAACTGGAAGACCAGGTGGCCAGCACGCATGTCCACACCAGGAAGCTAAACTTCCGGTTTCCGGCACTCCCGCGTCAGGGAGTTGCTCTTCTGGTTTCCTGCGCGCATGCGCTCCCGTTTCAGCACTCAGTACCAAAAAGATTAGCCACCACTGGACCTATGCTAACATAGGATGTAGAAGTATGCTAATAGAAGGCACTGACTCCTAACTTCTTGGGTGTTTCTTTCACGTATTGCTAGTTTCACCTTTCTATACAAAATTATTTTTAAACATTTGGTACCAGATTGTTGAAATATAAATAACATTTTTAGAAGTTTCTACCTTTCATATTATATTTGCCATATATTTACTTTTACAGTATGGGAAGTACACTTTCATCCTTCCAATCCTGATCATTTGTTCACTTGTTCAGAAGATGGATCTCTGTGGCATTGGGATGCTTCCTCTGATGTGACTGACAGAAAATCTTTTCTTCATACAAGTAAGATTTATTCAAACTTTTGATTAACCAAATAAGTATTTCATGCTACTTACAGACTACCATAGAAATAGCAACATTTCTAGGTCCATTGTTGCCCAGTATTGCTATAGTTAACTTAAACATCTCTTGTATTTCTAATATAAAATTCTTTCCTGTACTGTATAGTATTTTTCCATGCTGCCCACATTCACTTCAGATTTCTGCAAGTGGAGAATAGAGGAAATGCAAAAAAATATTAGAATAATTGCTTTTAGATTAATAATTAGTATGGCTGTGCATTTTATGCACAGAAATTGCAGAGATTCAGATTCAAAGGGCAAATGTAATTTGAAATTTGCATCTTTTGGGAACATCTTATGTATCTTCTCCTGCAATTGCGCGAACCAAGATGAGGCTGCTTGAAAATGCTATATGCACACCCACATGTGCCAAATCACTCACGTTTTGGAAGGAGCCCTGGCGATGCAGTAGTTAAATGTAGTATTGCAGGCAAATTCTGCCCACAGCCTGGAGTTCAATCCTGACAGGGCTCAAGGTTGACTCAGCATTCCATCTTTCCAAGATTGGTAAAATGAGCCATATTGTTGGGAACAATAGGTTGACTTGAATATAAACCACCCAGCATGGTGTAAAGCACTATGGAGTGGTATATACATCTAAGTGCTATTTCTATTTTAGCCTTCAATTCCAGATATCTACATAGTTTTAATAATAGCCTAACTTGAAATGAAAAGGCAGCAAACATTAAAGTTATTCTTGAGCAGCAAACTGTAAACTGTTTTTTTTATAAATGGCAAACCCAAGTTCTTTAAAAAATATTATGTATACTTTATGTTGATATTTGCCTTACATTTAAATAATTCTCATTTTTTACCTGAAGATAACAAAACAATATTTCTGTATTTTATTTTAGGTGGAAGAAATACTTCATTTCTACCTCATTCTACAGCTAATCAGTCCATAATTAGTGCTTGGTTGAACAATGATCCTACTAAAGATCGCATTGAGATTACAAATTTAAGTTCAAATTCAACTTTATCAATAAACAGTTTAGATGTGTTAGGATCATTTCTTGTGTATGGAACTGACACAGAATCTATTTATGTTAAGAAGGATCTCTTTGTATAACCTTAGTTTTCCCAAAACAGTGCTGTTGTGTAAATTTAGAATTCTTTTTCTAACCAATCTCTAGAATCATAGTTAAACTAGGGTCATAATTTAGAGTACAACTGAACATAATTCATGTTACAGCTTAAGCTTTTTAACAATACATTTCTGTGGTTCATCATGTTTATATTAAAAAATTTCCATTTATGCATTGCTTAATTACGTTGTCTTTATTTTTTAAATATTATTTCAACTCTTCTCCAATACAGATGAATTAATTGCAAGTACTGTAGTACTCATACTAAGTATGGTATTACCAAACTAGGTTGTAGAAGGGATTTTTGGGGTGACGCTTAAGACTACATTTTTATTTGAAATATTTCCCGTTGATACTAGAATAAACTTAAGCAACAAAAAAACCCTTTCAATTGTCATGCTCTGTTTTGCTGTATACAGTCACTAAGCGATGTTGTAAAGAATAACATTATGTGGCAGCATAGCTTACTGATGGCAGTTCTGATTATTATCAATGCCCAAGATTGTGTGGGTTGTTAAATGGGAACAGATGGGAAATACTGTGGGTGCATTTGGGGTGCTGCAGGTAGGTGCTATGGAGCAACGTGGACAGGCAGATGCCACAGGGGGGAGAGCTGGCAGTGGCTGCACACAGGCTGCTGCAGTTGGACACAATAGAGCAGGGGTGTCAGACTCACGGCCCGCTGGCTGGGTGCATCACGTGCTGGGCCCTGCTCCTGCCCAGTTTAGCAAAGGGGGGGAAGTCCTGATACAACACCGCCATGACGATGCGAGTTTGACACCCCTGCAATGGAGGATTGCTTGCTACAGAATACAAGCTCATTGGGTCTACTTCATAGCAGCTTCTTTAGACTTACTTGGGTGACCTGAAAGCTTCCCTGCCAGCTTCCCCCATTGACTTTGCTTGTGGGAAACTGGCAGGTAAGATCATGTAACTATGGCTCACTATAACAGAAGACAGGAACCCGAGTTAATGTGATCATGGGAGTGCTGCAGTAGTCAACTTGTATGCGCCATCAAAAGTTGCTTTCTGTATGATGGGCCATATACATTTGATTAACTTTGCAAGAACCAGTTGTAAGACCATCTTTTTCAGCATCAGGAGAACTTTGAATGGACATAAGCCAAGGATTACTTACAGATACAGGCATGCTTTTGGGAGTGACAAAGGGAGAGTTTTCCCCCTAGGAGTGAAATGGTACAAAAGGGGGGATGGGGAAGATTCCTTAAAAATACACTGCAGGCACACACACAAAAAGCGTGTCCTGGCTCTAAGGTGTAATTTCCTTGTTGAAACCTTGGGGATTCATTCGAAGAACAAATATGCAGCAGGGGGGAAAAGGGAAGGTTCTTGGAGCTAGCCACGTTTGGCCCGAAACAGTAAATATGACTCATTTCGACATGACAACCAGCCAACCTCTCCCAAGCGTAACCACAAGCAACGTTCAACCTCCGGTCCTCTTCGCTTATTCCCGTACCTGACGCATACACGGGCGGCAGTCGCAGGTGGACATTTAAAAAGCCTACTTTACAACACGGTGAAAAAGCAACAAGAAAGGAGAGGCCGTTTCCCCTCAACGTGTCTTTTTGGGGGGGGGGGGGGGGGACCACACGCCGCACATTGTCCTGAGACGTGGTAGGTTTCATTAGCCAGAGTAGATTAGGACACAGTACCGATGCGGGAGACTGTACCCGTCGCGTTTATCGCAATAAGCCAGGGGTCCCCAAACTGGGCAACTTGAAGACTTGTGGACTTCAACTCCCAGAATTCCCCAGCCAGCATAGCTGGAGAATTCTGGGAGTTGAAGTCCACAAGTCTTCAAGTTGCCCAGTTTGGAGACCTCTGCATTAAGCCAAAGCACAACCCCGGCCTTTCTCCGCATTTTACAAACATTTCTTAAACTGCTATTCCCGCAGCTCTTTTCTGTCCGACCGTGCAGACGCGACTCTCCCACGAAGTGAATCCAGGGGGAGGGAAAAGCCTGCAAGCCCGGTGGCCGCCAGAAGAGGTGGGGGAGGAAACCCTCGCGAAGCGCTCCCGGCTTCTCACATTCTGGCCTTGGTTGGGAGGGGGGGCGGCAAGAAGGAGGAGAAAGAACAAGCCGGCGGAACACGCAAAGGAAGTCGGGAAAAGGTTTTATATCCGGGAATCTTGGGCGACAAACCCACCGACAAAATGGCGGCCCGGAATTGAAACCCCCCCTCAAAAATTAAGGGGGGGGATAGAAATTGAGGGGGGAGGGGACGTAGAGCCGGAACGTTTTATGGTAAACTGTGTAGCTGTCGCTGAGAATCCCCGTGGTCGTCACCTTCCTTCTGTTTGCTGGGCTTGAGGCGCTGTCACCGCCGCCTTTCCCCCAGGCAGGTGGGTAGATGGGTTTGCTTGGGCTCCGCCTCAGGGAAAGGAAAATTGGGTGGCTAGTTAATGAGGAAGGCCTCGGAGACGAGGCACGCCTTGGCCTAAGGTTTCGTGACACTCCGCCGCTTTGACAGGAATTGCCCCGACTCCTTTGTGTTTCCCACCCGCCCATCGCTCGGGTCGCCTAAGATTGCTTCGTTGCAAGCTCCCCGGTTAACGTCGAGCGCCTGGCCTTTGCGTGTCTTACGCTTTCCCTTTTACTGCCCCTTAAGTCTAAATCGCATCTCTTGTAGGGTTTTAAGTGAGCTTTTTTTTTTAAATGTACGCCGTTTTTCTTTATTTGCTTATTGCTGTTCATTTGATTATTAAACAACGGAGGCATATCCCAATTTGGGGGAGGGGAATCATCTGACGTTCTCACTTACTGTGAATTGTTTTAGAGTTTTATGTTTTTTGTATAGTTGTCCTTAGCGTAGTAAAGATAACATGAAAAGTGTTTATTGTTTATATAAGGCTTCTCATCTGCTTGCTTAGTTAAGAATTTTACCAGATTTCATAATTAATAGCATGTGCTTTGAATATTATAAAGGTTCAATTCTTATCTTTATAATAAAATAGACCATTGTATTGCTTATAGAAAAAGGATGTGAAAGAAAAGGGGAAATAAAATGAATTAAGGTATATCAGCTCTATTTTTAAAAAGTAACATTTACATAATGTGGTCCTCAGTTGTTTTAGTTCATGTTTTTTCTGGTTACTTAAATATGTCTATATAAAACTATAGCTTTAAAGAACATAATGATTGTTTTAGAACAGGTTTTAACAACTTGCAAAAGCAAACTAACAGTTTTAATTTTGTCCTCCAGATTCATAATAACCACTGACATAAGTTTTTCAACTTATGTCATTGCTTCATATTTTCTTTTTAACAATGCAGTCTTCGGCTTATTTATTTATAAGTGTCTCATTGTGTTAACTACAAATAGACTGAGAACACAAATAGTTTTTAAAAACTAACAGATTAATGCATAGTAATATATTTATGATTCACTTCATCAGCTGTTTGGTTACAGAAAATTAAATGATAATCATTGTATGAGTTAGGCAGCCATATAAGTCTTGTGAATAAATAAATCAATGCATAAAATTATGTGTGATTTTCTATCAAATTATGTTTATGGGATCGTTGACTGAACTATTCTGTAGATGTTTCATTATTAACATTTTGATTTTAATGCTGCCGAAGTCCAACTGACTCTGGGTGATTTTCAGTGCAGGTAAATAATACATTAATAACTCTGGACAGGCACAGTGTGAATCGTTTATCTTATTCCAGCTTGGTTCAGTGTAGGAAGCACTAAGTTGTATTTTGTATATTGGCTACAAATTTGGAAGCAGCTGTGACTTTCTTCCTTGTTTCCTATTTATTTGCTCTCTTTTTATGTGGCAAGTATGCATACTGAAAGGGGTGGGGGATCCTATCTTCTTTCTTCTTGTCACTACTACTCATTCCAGTCACTATTTGTTCACTCTGAAGATAAATGAATATATATTGACAAAGGAAAAGAAACAGCAGAGTATCCCATTTTTGTAAAATAGAGAAAAACACGTTTTACTAAGCAGCTTTTAAAAGATTTACAATGTATGGTACAGAGGTGTAGCTTAAAAATACAATAATTTAATTATAACAGTGTGATGCAATAGAGAGGAAGGTCTCAGTACACCTGATATCTGGGGTGTGAACTAGATAGTATTTGATATTCTGCTTGTTTCATTATTCTATCATTTTAATCATGTTTTTAATTAGTAACCTTCCATAAGAGTATAGCCAATTTCAGGTAAGAATAAAATAACTTTAAAAGGTACTACGTATGTTTTGTGGAAAAAAATAGAGATCAAAATAATCTTCATGTGAAATTTATCTTATCATTTATTTATGTAACCATTTAAGATAACACCATTTATCTTAAAAAATTTGCATTATAATAACATAAGGTACATTCAGAACCGTGGTGGCACAGTGGTTAGAATGCAGTACTGCAGACTACTTCTGTTGACTGCCAGAAGTTTGGCAGTTCAAATCTCACTGACTCAAGGTTGATTCAGCCTTCCATCCTTCTGAGGTCTGTAAAACGAGGACTCAAATTGTTGGGGGTAATATGCTGACTCTGTAAACCGTTTAGAGAGAGCTATTTTGGGTTATTTTCTTCAGATTGTAAACACCAAATATTAAGTAGAAGGAAATTTGTTTTCATACCAAATATTCATAAGAATGTGATAAAATAAGAGTTGAATAAAACATTTTCCAATAATGTAACAGTGTTTTATTTTTCTATTTAGAATGACTATTATTCTATTCTCTTAGACTTGAATGGATGTATGTACTACTGGAATCAAGATCAACTGTGTTTTGAGATTGCCATCCAACTGATTAAAGTGTTAAGCATATTGAAAATCTTGGTTAAAAGTTATACGAGTTCATGAAGAGAAGCGAGAAACCAGAGGGATATAGACAAATGAGGCCTAAAACATTTCCTGCCAGTAATTACACTAGCAGCAGCCGGCAGATGTTACAAGAAATACGAGAGAGCCTTAGAAATTTGCCGAAGCCTTCGGATGCTGCAAAAGTTGAACAAAATATGGGTAAAATTCCAACTGAAGATCCCAGGCAAGGTCGAAATCCCCCCAAGTTTGTTACCTACCATAAAGCTTTGCAAGAAATTAGAAATTCTCTACTTCCTTTTGCAAATGAAACAAGTTCAACCAGAGGAACCTCAGAAGTTAATCGTCAGATGTTGCAAGATCTTCAAGCTGCTGGATTTGATGAGGTAAAATATAATTCCTAGTGGGATATCAAATTGGTAATAGCAAAAAATTGTTGTGATTTATTTGGGGAAGTACATTCAAAAATGTGTTTTGATTATGATTCTGTTGTTTCCTGTGCACATTATTTGAATTTGCTTATTAATCCCAAGTTTTCTTTGTTTGCCATATTTATATAGACACCCATCTCACAGGCAAGTAACTGGATAGCATACGATAAACTCTGAGTAGACCCTCTTGAAGAATAAATGCAACTGATGCATAATACAAAGTTGAGCAAAAGCCTTCCTAACCACTACCTGCTCCTTGAGCAGGAATTGTGAGTTTAGAAAAATCCCCAGATTGCACACAGGACCTGTTTGGGGTAGCGTGACCCCCATCCAGTACCAAAGAAGATAGAGTCTTAGAACCTGCGGGCCCAAAACTCCAAGTCACTCAGTCTTGCTAGAATTCATTTAAAGTCTACTGTTTCCCATCAAGATGCTTACAGCCTCTATTCACTAAAATAAGATGTCCATAGGATTGCTTAATTCAACAGCAACGGAGATGTATAAATTGGGTATCATCAGTGTACTGATTGTACCCAATTAATGATGAGATCTCACCTCGTGGTGATGGATGAGTTCACCTAGCAGTCTTGGGTAGATGTTGAATGGGGGGGGGAGTGAGCTCCAATCCCTCAATATAGTAGGAGGGTCAAAGGCAGGATCTCACCCCCACCCCCAGTCATGACCAGCTGGAATTGATCACACACAATAAAAGGCAAACCAGCAAAACACCTCCAATCCTCTCAGTCAGTCCAGAAGGATACCATGGTAAAAAGTATTGAAAATCACTTAGAGATCAATTAGTTGAACAGATTGGTATTCTCTCCTTATTTTAAAATTACTTATGTGGATTAACAAAGGTTATTCAATTGCGACATAAGGGGGAAAAATCACATAAAATTAAAATAATGAGACATCAGAAGTAGGAATCAGTTTTATCAAATTTGAATAGATTTTATGCAAATACCATAACAATAGATTATAATATGGTATAGTTTAGATATATGGTAAATTTCTACATGTGCAGTATCTATTTATTTATATTGTAAATAGATAAAGAAATAGAATACATATAGTAATAGAATACATATTGTAGTAGTTTTGTGTTTTCTATATCTATTTTATTTCCATCTTGGATTTATGTTAACGTAGTTACCTGATATTGTTAGTTGGCATTTAATAAAAATTGTGGGGGGGAAACTGCCTCAAATATGTTAATGGGATTTGCTTTTGGGGGTGCAAGGTGGAGGTGAAGTACCTGATTTTGGAGTTTAGAAAAATGTTTTTCTGTATAATTTGAGATTCACTCCTGGCATGCTAATGTCATCTTGTTTTGTAATAACCATATTTCCAATGCCATTGATGCTTAGATTGCACCAATATTGCATTGTTAGGAATAATAGCACTAAGTCTTTACTTTTTTCAATCTAATATTAAATACAGTGTTTCTGACTTTTTTATTATCAATGATTAACTATCTTATTGGGAAATTGGTTTTTTTTTTATTCTCTTCCCATCAATAGGATATGGTTGTGCAAGCTCTAAGACAAACCAATAGCCGCAGCATAGAAGCAGCCATTGAATTTATAAGTAAAATGAGTTATCAAGATTCTCGTCGAGAACAAATGGCAGCAGCTGCATCTAGACCCCTTACAGCTGGCCCCAAGCCCCCAGGTATGCACCTCCATATATACTCCTCAGAAAGAGAAATCGAATGTGTATGTTTTCAAAACTAATGACAAGAGAGAAATAACTTGAAGTCAGAGATACTGACTGAAAAATAAACTGTGTTTTTAACATTTGTAGTTAAAATGAAATTTTTAGTTACAACTTCATTGGCAAGTATAGTATATTGAAGGGAGAACACCAATAGGATACAGTAGCATAAAGATATAAAGGTACTCCTCTGCCTTGTTCTTTACTCTTCATGTAACCTCTCTCATTATTTATGTAAAAGAAATAGAAGGAAGGAGTAAGGTGAGAAGGTTGCCAAAGATATTGTGTGGGCAAGCTCCACAATTAAAGGCCAGTGGCGCATATATATTAACGTGAAAGTAAGGCCTGTTATTTTCCTTTCCTAATTAAAAAAACTACTTATGGAAAAGAACCTAAAATAGAAGGGAAAAGAGGCACTTTATTCAAGCATGTTCAAAAACATGCTCATTGTAGTAAATGTACTAATGAATTAAAAAAAACAATTTGAAAAGGGCCAACTTGCAACAAAGAATTAATAGGAAGAAGACAATTAACAAAATTCTTTTGGAGCTTTTTTATTGCAAAAATTATTTAGGGTCAATGTTACAGTCCTCTATGCAGATCATTTAGGAGTGCCACGTGAAGTCTGGGTCCAGGGACTTTACATTATCATATGAGTACATTATCATATGAGTACTTTGACTTATGACCAGAGTTGGGCTCAAAATTTCTGTTGTTAAGCAAGACACTTGTTAAGTGAGTTTTGCCCCTTTTACGAACTTTCGTGCCACAGCTGTTATGTAAATCATTGTAGTTATTAAGTTAGTAATACGGTTAAGTGAAACTTAATTTTGCTTAATCTGTGCTGACAAGCATTGATTTTGCTTGTCAGAAGGCTACAAAAGGTGATCACACAAATTGAGGACACTGCAACCATCATAAACACAAGCCAGTTGCCAAGTGTCCAAATTTTGATCACATGATGAGAATGCTGCAACAATCGTAAATGTAAAAATGGTCATAAATCACTTTTTTCAGTGCTGTTGTAATTTCAAGCCAACACTAAACAAATGGTTATCAGTGAAGGACTATCTGTATGCACTTAGATTAATTGTTTCAAAAAGTAGTCTGTATCCTTTTTTTTTAATAAATTCATATGAAATTTGATTTAAATTATTTCTCATCTCATTTTTATATCAGTTCATTCTAGTGTGTTTTTATGTCAGAAATGCTTGCTTCTAACCTTTTATATAATTACTATTCCAGAATTTGAAAATGAGTAGTAAAAAAACCCTGTCTTTTTACTTTTTTTAAAAAAAGCAGGAGGAGCAGTACAGCAGTCAGTTATCCGTAGACAGAGCTGGAAAGGTTCTAAAGAATCTTTGGTACCCCAGAGACATGCTTCTGCACTGGGAGATGGCCTTACTTTCCATTCAGAAAGCCCTATTTCTCAGGGTGAAGTAGGAAGACCATTATCTGGATCTGGAATAGCTGCATTTGCTCAGGCTCATCCTGGTAATGGACAAAGAGTGAACCCACCACCTCCACCTCAAGTCAGAAGTGTTACTCCACCCCCTCCCCCTCCCAGAGGAACACCTCCTCCTTCCTGGGAAGCAAATTCTCAAACAAAACGGTATTCGGGGAACATGGAATATATGATATCTCGTATTTCTCCGGTGCCTCCAGGATCATGGCAGGATGGTTATCCTCCCCAGACTATGAATTCTTCATCTATGAATCCTTCTGTGCAAGGACAAAGAGGTATGAGTTCCGTTCCTGTTGGTAGACAACCAATAATCATGCAAAGTTCAGTTAATAGCAAATTTAGTTTTTCATCGGGAAGGAGTGGAATACAAAACGGCAATTGTCAGACTGAATATATTATTCATCAAAATATTGTGCCTGGTAACTCAGCAAGTCGCCAACCACCTCCTCCTTATCCAATATCTCCAACAAGCCGACAAAGTCCTACACTTTTGCAGATGCAAACAGGAGGTCCTGCTCCCCTTTCAGCATATCCTAATGGGAATATTTCTCAATCTATGATGGTGCCAAACAGAAACAGCCATAATATGGATTTATATAATATAAATGTTCCGGGAATTCCAACAACCTGGTCACAATCATCCTCTGGAAATGGACATGACATCCCAGTATGGCAATCCAATATTCCAGTAAGGTCAAATTCTTTCAATAATCATGCTGGAAACAGACAAAACCATGCTGCAAATTCACAATCTTCTGCTACAACAGTTACAGCCGTTACTCCAGCTCCTATACAGCAGCCAGTAAAAAGTATGCGTGTATTAAAACCAGAACTGCAAACTGCCTTAGCTCCTACTCACCCTTCTTGGATTTCGCAACCAATGCAAACAGTCCAGCCCGCCTCCTTTTCTGAGGGACCATGTACAGTTGTGCCAGTTATTTCACCTGCAGCAGAAGGTGGAAATTATCAAGGACCACCCCCTCCTTATCCAAAGCATTTATTACATCCAAATCTATCTGCCACCCCATATGAAGCTATAACAAAGCCTGGAAAAGAAGATCAGCCTGGGTTTCCTAAAGAAGAGGATGCTGAAAAGAATGAAAACAGTGAGACAATCGATAGAGAAAAGAAGCAGATAACAACTTCCCCTGTTCCTGTCAGGAAGAATAAAAGAGATGAAGAACGGAGGGAATCCCGCATTCAAATCTATTCTCCTCAAGCCTTTAAATTCTTTATGGAGCAGCATGTTGAAAATATACTCAAGTCTCATCAACAACGACTGCATCGTAAGAAACAGCTTGAAAATGAAATGATGAGGGTAATTTTTTAAATTATTTCTCTTTAAGTTTTGCATGGAATATACTTTGAAATTGTAATATTACCATTGCGTTAGACTTAAACAGTAATTAGACTTAAAGAGCTATCAGTAACAGACATGATAGCTCAGCAGGTTAAAGACTGGAAAGCCCAGGTTCGAGACCCAAGCGCAGTGTGACAGGGTGAACTCTCATTAGGTGCCGCAGCTCCTCCCATCCTAGCAGTCCAAAAGGATACAAATGTAAATAGATAAATAGGTACCACTTTGGTGGGAAGGTAACAGCACTCCATGCACCTTGGCATATAGTCATGCTGGCCACATGACCACGGAAATGTCTTTGGACAATGCTGGATCCCTGAGTTAAGAAATGAAGATGAGCATTGCATCCTAGAGTTGAACATGACTGGATAGGGGACATTTTTACCCTTACTAAAATGGTAATAGTTTACCAATTTTTATAGTGCAATCCTATTGACATCAGTCAGATTAAGTTATTAAATATCTTTCTGGCTGTGTGATTGATTGCATTATAGTCCGAGAAATTGTAAAGAAAAAATAGGCTAACAGGAAACAGAAATAAATCAGCCATGAAAAAAAAAATCATCAAATGCATTTCATTTTTATTTTATTGTTCATAACAGAAAGTGCTTAAGGGAGTGTGGATGGGGAGATAGATAATATTTAGATATCCGCCAAGAACCTAGAACAGAAGTGCATCAGAAACTGGCTGCTTCCATAAAACTGGGACAAGAAGATTAAGGATTTAATATCCAAGCACTGCCATGGGCTTGGCACTACCAGAAAGTGCTTCCCAAATCTGATACTTACAACTAATTGTCTGTGCACATAAGTTGTCATGATTCAAATAGAAACTGCTATGAACCAGTGCATTCTATAATTTAGTTATAGATAAAGCTTCATAAATTTGGGGGTTTGTGGAACCTTGTACATATTGGGCAGTTGAATAGAAAATATATTTTGCTTGATCTCACTATAAATAAGGGTATGTTTAGTGTTGTTTGTTATAATAGAATGACTTGTTGGATATTTTTTAAAAAGATCTAACAATTGATTTTCCAATAAAAATAAGCTTCTTTAAAATTCTTACTTTTTACATGTTGGAAAAGTAGTGACATTGCCTCTATTTTTTGATTGCACTAGAATATAGACATTTCAACCTCAATTATTTTTAATTTCTACTTTATATTATATATATGCTTGGTTTGAAGTTCTCATGTCATCTGTAGAAGTATCATTTTAATTACAGTATTTTCAAAAATTCTTTGGTAAATTTCATCCTTTTGAGTAGGAAGCTAGCTGATGTCTGAGTCAGTTAAATTTCTTGTTCTTTCTACATGTTCATCCTTAGTCTCTTTCCTTTTCACTTTCACTAACAGCTGGTTTAAACTATTAAGGTGTTGGAAGCTTTCCTGACATCTGTAGCCTTCGTTACTGGGTAGGCAAGTAATATTTTGGAGACAAGTATTCTATTTAAAGAATAGCATGGATCCTTTCTTATGGGACTCTGCATGCTTACATGCATTTAAATTAAGCATGCTTTGTTTCACTGTACTTGGATGTATTTATATTAGATCACTAATATTGTATACCATATTTATTTTTATGTTCTACAGTTGCACAAGAACAATAATACAAATACACTATTTTATTTCGTTTACATTGTTCAAAGTGGCTGAATTGTTAGTACTGTACTCATACTGCCAGATATTTATGTAGATGTTTATTTTAAGATTGTATTAAATGTAATTAAAAATAAAATTTTTGAATGAAAGCTAGAAGCTGGAAAGTCATTTGGAAGCAATTTAAGTGCATTTTTCTAGTAAATAGATAGTATATGTCCTATATGTCTAGCCTAACTGACAACGTAAAAGTATTTGTTGGAATGTCAGTCAATCATCACTTTTCTTAAAATATGTGACTTTTAAGAATAATAGAATCTTCTAATTAGTTTATCTGGTTTCATCAGTGGAGTTTCTTGCTAAAACGTTGTCTTTGAATCTTGAGCCTTATTGTGCATGGCTCTTGTGTATGATTGTCTATAATATGTCATTTTAACATTTTGTTGTATATTGTTCTGAAGTGTTTTGATTGTTTCCTAATATGTTGCAATAAAATAAACTGAAATAATAAAAATGGGAGTATTATTCCCTAAGGACCGATATTGTTTACTTTTCTTAAATTCTTTTTTTTTCCACTTTTTTTTTTTTTACATTTATTGCATAGGTTGGGTTATCCCAAGAGGCCCAAGATCAAATGAGGAAAATGCTATGCCAAAAGGAGTCCAACTACATCCGTCTCAAAAGAGCTAAAATGGATAAATCAATGTTTGTTAAAATTAAGACTCTTGGAATTGGGGCATTTGGAGAAGTCTGTTTGGCAAGAAAGGTAGATACAAATGCCTTATATGCAAAAAAAACTCTTCGAAAAAAGGATGTACTACTTCGAAACCAGGTTGCTCATGTTAAAGCTGAACGGGATATTCTTGCGGAGGCTGATAATGAATGGGTAGTTCGTCTGTACTATTCGTTCCAAGATAAGGACAATTTATACTTTATAATGGACTATATTCCAGGAGGAGACATGATGAGCTTGTTAATTCGAATGGGAGTCTTTCCGGAAAATATGGCCCGATTCTACATAGCAGAACTGACCTGTGCTGTTGAAAGTGTTCATAAGATGGGCTTCATTCATAGAGACATAAAACCTGATAACATTTTGATTGATCGTGACGGCCATATCAAATTGACAGACTTTGGACTTTGTACTGGCTTTCGGTGGACACACGATTCCAAATACTATCAGAGTGGTAAGGCAAGCAGTTTGTCCCAAAATTGTCTTTATGTGTTAGATTATTATCACACAGAACAACTAGATATTGGTTTGTATTATATTTTCTACCAGATGATTTGGCTGGATATCATAACATGCTGCTGAGTAATTATCAATGTAGTCATTTATTCCAGAACATAGGAAAGTGAATTTGGAATTAGAATCTTCCAGAGCAGCAGCAGCATGATAAAATCCTTTTTCAAAACATATTGAATACAGCTTTTTTTAAAAAATCAGATCAAAAATCTCTAGTACAGAATAGTAAATCTTAACTTCTTAACATCTTAACTTCCACAGAACATTCCATTGTGAACTTCATAGAAAAATAAAATCAAAAGAATATTACACTGAGAACAGGAAAATAGTGTGTATTTGTCTGTATCATATTTTAAAATGTTATAATTTCTGAAAATTAGTTGTTTAGCACATGTTTCAATTTCAGGCTTTTTGCCAACAATAACTAGAATTATAATAGTACAAGTGGGTTGTTGTTTTTTGCTTTCCAATCAAAATTAAAGTATTAGTAACTATCCTTTGAAACTTAAAAATTATTCTCTTATTATCAGTTATATGATTTCATCTACTTAATTCTTAATTTGGAGTGCAATACTGAAAGTCTGAATAAGAAAACAGAGAACTTCTTTTCCTGTTTTTAAAAGTTGCAAAATCTAATGGAGAAATTGTTTTGTCGAAAGTAGGGAATAGAAAGGTGGAAAAGCATATATAGCAGTAGTGGCTAACCTTTTTCGGCTCCTGTGCCAAAAATTGTGTGTGCGCACTGTGTGCCAGCACCCAGAAGGCAATGCATGCTGGGGGGGCCATGCCCCCTGTGGATGCACTGTGACCCCCCATGCGCCATGCATCTGCTTATATGCTTCGTGTATCTGCCACACGCATGCACTCCCAGATACCCAACAATCAGCTGTCGGGCAGCGGCGCACGCATGCGCAGTGGGGCTCTTCCGGGCGACCTCTCGCATGCCGGCAGAAGTGGCCCTGTGTGCCACTTCCAGCACGCGTGCCATAGGCTCGCCAATACGGATATATAGCCTCATATTTTGTCTTTCAGTGTCTCTTTATGTTATACAGAACATTAAAATTAATTTTTTCTCAGTCCGGAAGAAAACCAAGGTTATGAAAAAAAAATAAGGATGTGATTTCTACATCTACTGGGCACTCACTCATGGTTATCAGATCTGGATTGCAAAAAGATCCAGACAGCCCCTAGATAACAGGAAAAAGAAACAGAAAATTCTAATTTTTGTTTCAATCTGCTTGCCATTTTACAGCTGGTAGTCCTAGACCTGATTGGTGTCTACATCATAGAATTAAAATAATTTGAAACAGCTAACTAAATCAGGCATTGACAGCCTGTGAGCTCACAACTTCCAAAAAGTCGAAGGTAGAATTAAGAAAATTACAGGGATTTTTTTAAGTATATTAAGAGTAAACTTCCAGGTTTATGTTGGAGATTATAAACAGAAATGTAAGGATTGCTGAATGTCTTTTATTTAGTCAGTTACAAATACTCTTGTGTAGTTATTGTTTTTGTTATATTTATTATTATTATTATTATTAATAATAATAATAATAATAATAATAATAATAATAATAATAATAATCTTGCCTTTTCCTTGTTAGGTAGTTATTTCTTTGACATTAAGGTGAGGAAAAAAAGGGATCCAGATGATATTTAATAAACTAAAAAAAATCTAATATTGCCTGAGAGTTGGAGGAGGCTTTCTACTTATGGGAAGTTTCTGCTTAAAAGGCAATTTCTCTTTTCATCTTGCTTCTTTCTTTTTTACATTGCTTTAATGTAAAGAAAAGAAGAACAATAATCTACAGTATCACAGTATTAGTTCATGTTCCTTTACCCATTTTACCCTTACAACCTAATGAAACTAATAGCCACCACTTTTTAAACATTCACTGGATTGCCAATAAATAGAAAATAGTCCCACTTTAAAATGATAAGAAAATGTTCTTTTAAATTTTCTGTCATCTTAAGTTAGCTATTGATTTATTAATATGTAATATTTTTATTCCAGAGTTCTTGTAAAAAAGTTACCACCACCAATAATTTTCAGTTGATTAAAAGACAGCTAGAATAATCCAAAGCATGTTCTAGTACTGATAGTAATTAGGAACGTTTAGATACTAAATCTAATATAAATCGATTCAGTCAAAGGTTTCATTAGATATAGTGCCATTTTGGAATATTAGGCAATTGAAATACTACTAAAATAATTCAGACGGTTTAAAATTTTGATTGGCAATAAAATGCTCTACAATTGGTAAATAGCTGGTCTCCATTATCAGCTATTTTCAGGCTTGTCCCAAAGTATATCATGTAAATACAGATCATCGTACTTCCATCCCAATATCTTCTATATGTGCCTTGCAATCTTTAATGCCTAAAATACAATAGACTTTTTGCTAAAAAATAAATCCAATCTCCTAGTATCAGAAGGGTCTCATAATGATTTTCTAATTGTACTCACAATATTTTTTTTTTGCTTGATCATTGACATTTCATAAAGGAATTGAGGTTAGAATATATGCTAAATGATAAAACTGTAATATTTAATTGATTAGACTTATGATCATATCAGAGAAAATAAAATAATAGTAAAATATAGGATGTAATTCCAGGATAAAATAAAGAAAATACAATAATTAAATAATTAAAAAATATGTGACAAATACAGGGAATCAGCGTTCAGATTAATATACCACCTTTATGTGACAATCCAGTCTTGTTCATTATAATGGGTTGTTAGCTGAGCTGTCTTAACTATAAACTTAGCAGTTCTGCTCACCATGTATACAGCAAGTCCTCACTTTATGATCACTGTTGAGCCCAAAATCTTGATCATTAAGCAGAGCAGTTGTTAAGTGAGACATCACATGACTGCTTCATTTGACTGCAATCCTGGCACTCCTGGTTGTGATTGTTAAGCATTAAGTTATGGGTTGGGATAGACTCTGGGAGGTTCCATTCAGGGCCTGAAAATCCTCCCTGCCGAAATCCTGTTGTCAGTTCTGCATGTTTGTACAAATAAATAATAAATTACAATATTTTTAATTATTGAGGCTACATGCTCACAGCATGACATTTTATTCAAGAGTCCTTCCAATTCATTATATTCTTCTTGGATAGCTCCCAATAATTGTTTATCAAAGTAAAAATCCTCATAAATCCCTACTTGCTTTTAATCAAAGTGCTGTAATTTGATATCTTGAAATGCTATACTGTAATCAGATGCTTTTTTAAAAAATCATACTTTTTAAAATAGATTCTGTGACACTTGATTGATGACTGGAGTTTAAACATAATGGTAATGTTTGGGCTTTTGCATGCTAGGTGACCATCCCCGTCAGGACAGCATGGATTTCAGTAATGAATGGGGAGATCCAGCAAGCTGTAGATGCGGAGATAGACTAAAGCCTCTTGAACGTAGAGCAGCACGTCAACATCAACGCTGTCTAGCTCATTCACTTGTTGGGACACCAAATTACATTGCACCAGAAGTATTATTACGGACAGGTAAAGCTTTCCTTTTTTCCTGTAGCTGGGGTTGCTAAATTGATGGCTAGTTTTTGAAAATTGCTCCTGAAAACAATTACTCTAACTACAAGGAAGTTCCCTGATGCTACAGGATTGTTGCCAATAACTCTTAATAACGTTGAGCACAAAAATTATAAATTAATTTGTAAGAAACAGAAAATAATATATTAATATATAACAAGGTCAATCGTAAGGCTTAAAAGTCAGATGTGCTAGATCAGGGGTGTCAAACTCATCACGTCATGTTGCCATCACATGATGTTTCACAAAGTTTTCTCCCTTCACAGAGCTGGGGTGGAGCTGCATGTGACTCATCCAGCCCACTGGCCACTAGTTAAACACCCCTGTGCTAGATGTTTGGGAAATACTATACTAACATAATAGCTAGTACATTGTTAGAAAGAAATTTAGAATTATTATTGGTCTGTATAATTACTGGATTTTCTTTTGCTTCAGGATATACACAACTATGTGACTGGTGGAGTGTTGGGGTGATTCTTTTTGAAATGCTAGTAGGTCAACCTCCCTTCTTAGCACAAACACCATTGGAAACACAAATGAAGGTATTTGGAAAAAAAATGATATCAGTTGCCTCTGTGCATATGTGTAGAAGCTAGATAAGCTTTGGTCTGCATTTAACTTAGAACAATGCCTACATAATATGTTTTCCCTGTATTTCAAAATGCTTTTACACGATTTTAGTTGTCACTAGAAATTATAGTTTGATACTGTTTCTTCCCAAAATTTTAATAGAATGGGTTACCAACCTACTTTGTTTCATTTTATAGAAGCGTGAAATTATTCTAATATAGAAATGTGAAATTATCCTAATCAATGAGAGGAGGTACCGTAATATGTTTTCACTGTAAGACCTATAAGTGGACTACTATTTCACTATAGTTTTCACTATAAGACACTATAAGTAAACTACTATTGTTATCTTGTTTCATCTGCAAAACATGTTTTTATTGATTTCTTTATGTATTTTGTCACTCTTTAGAAATAGAAGTCATAGTAAATGAAGAATAGTGTAGTAATGGTTTTCTCCAGTCTTTTTTAATTGTAATTTTATTAAAAAAATTAAAACTAATACAAACCAAAAGAGAAAAGAAAAAGAAAAACAGAAAATGCAGGAAAAAATAGAAAAAAATAGAATGTTCCATCTCTATAAACAAAACCTTAAAGTCTTGTCATTAAAGTCTGATCAGCATTAAGATAAAAAATATAGAGATAAAAATATATTTATTTTATTAAATAAATCAACTTTTTATTCTTTCCTTATTCCATATTCTTCAATATGTCCAGTACTAAAATATTTTGCTTCATTCTAGACAGTCAGACAGACAAACATTTCTGAAACTGATAAGAAATGTAATTTTAGTGTCCCTGAGCACCAGTCATGGTTTAAGATGGCTATTCCTTTGTCTCACATAGACTGCTGTCTTGTAGATTCCTCATAAGGAACAACTGTCTGGAGCACTTGTGGGCAATTTTAATTCCTCTCCTTGTCTGGATAGGAATTGAAGCTGGTTTACTTGCTTGGTTTTCATTCTATCACAGATGTTGGCTCCATTCTTCAGTTTGCAATTTCTTCCCCAGAAATCATTTTGCTCCAGTCTTTCAGTGAAAGCCTCAATTAGAATTTTAAAACACACTGAAGAAAGAACAAAAATATTTGATGTGTAGAGTTCATAATAATGAATTTCTATGATATAGAGTTCACTAAAATTGAAATAATTTTATTTTACATTTAATTATGAAGCAAAACATATCCTCAAAGGTAACAAAATAATTCTGTTCTTCTATTAAAATATTTATACATAGAATCAAGAGGAAGTTATCCTATCTATTAAGGGCAAAATGCTAACTTAGATTTTGCCTTCTACTAAGTATTAATCCAGGGTCATCAGTAGGAATCAAAAATGTCAAGATGGCAATTATGCAATCAATGACCCACCCCTTTTTTACATGCGTGACAAACACAACATGAAAAAGGGGCAAAGCCACCATCCCGATTTTTTTTATTCCTTATGCAAACTGCCCCAACATAAATCTTTGATATGATGCAAGTTTTTAGGCTCTTTCCCTGAACAGGGCAGTAGTGGTTCAGAAATATTTGCTTTTAGTTTTTTGAACATGTTAGTTCCTGAAGAAAAATGTGTACAAATGTGTATTTAATTTGAAACTTTAACTTTGTGTTTAAATAAGGTTATCAATTGGAAAACATCACTGCACATCCCACTACAAGCAAAACTAACTCCAGAGGCATCAGATCTTATTATTAAGCTCTGCCGAGGACCAGATGATCGCTTAGGCAAGAATGGCACAGATGAAATAAAAGCACACCCATTTTTTAAATCTATTGATTTTTCAAGTGATCTACGGCAGCAACCTGCTTTTTATATTCCCAAAATTACACATCCCACTGATACATCAAATTTTGATCCAATTGATCCAGATAAATTATGGAGTGAAGATAAAGAGGGGAATGTAAATGACACACTTAATGGGTGGTATAAAAATGGTAAACATCCTGAGCATGCTTTTTATGAATTCACGTTTCGAAGGTTTTTTGATGACAATGGGTATCCATATAGCTATCCAAAGCCTATTGAATATGAATACACTAATTCTTGTAGATTAGAATCGCAGTCTGATGAAGATGATGAGAGGTCCAGTAGAGAGGTCCAAAATCGTGATCTAGTTTACATTTAATAGAGAAAATAAACCGTGTTTCTGAATTTCTCAAATCATGTGGGGGGAAAAACTGAGATGCTGTTTGAAAGCTGACTTTTGTACCCTCTTGGATTGGGGAATGGTAATTATTCCCATTTTTTCACATTAAGTTTTTCTCATAACTAGCCCTTTTTCATCTTTAATTTATTTCATTATTGTTAGTGCTTAATATAGAAAGTAGTAATATTAGGAAAAATAAATTATAAATTTAAGCTTTTTGTAAACAGAAAATAGATTTCTTTTAGGAAATGAGATGCCTATTTTTTTTTTATAAACCACAACCATTATTTTCTTCCAGACTTTTGCAGTCATTGCCTATCTTGCGTTAGCTAATTCTTAGTAAACTCACAGACACTATGTCTAGTTAGACATATTATCAATCAAATACAATATATATAAAGCAAAGTATAAGGTCATTAGTTATTATGAGCTCTGGCGAAGAACAAAGCTGCAATCTAACATTCATGAAATGATTAAGTCCATTAAAAATAGTATCTTTATTAAATAAAAAAAAGATTGCATTTCAAACTATCTGTATTCTTACAATAAACAAAGTTTATATCGGGTTTGTAATTATTTTCAGTTTTGCATAACAGATTGTAATTGGTGATCCTATGCAGCAACTCAGTGTCGGCTGTTGATAGCTTACAGAGACAGTTTATCACAAAATTAATGTTAGAAGTTTGATTTTAGTTTTTTGTAATTCTTATCCTGCAAATTTTGACAAAAAAATTAAAAATGTTTGAACCCCCATGATATCTAATTGCAAAATCTGTTTTAATAACTTTATTTTGCACGGTCTAGCATTCCCAAGTTACCAGGTTGGAATAAATCCAGTCCATGATTAACAAGGATTAAATATAATTTACATTATTGCTCTATTCTGAATCAACACTCTGAAATTAAAGAAAAAAAGCTGCATCTTTTGCTATTGCAGCTTTTTTTCCTTCTCCTGGCAATACAAAATATTTTTTTAATCTACAGATAAATACCATAGCACTGTGTAAATATTTCAAGCTCCCTGTGCTAGTACTGTATTCCTGTATCTGAAGAATCTCCAAGCACCACATTTTGTGCTTTCTAATGTCATACATTAAAATATGTATGTACTGGGTCTTTTTTTAAATAAAAAAATTAGAAAATAGTTCTCTCTTTTTCCAGCCAGTTATTTATTGTTTATTATATTTAAGCTGAATATTTCATTTAAAAGAAGAGTAGTTAACAAGTAACTACTCAATAACGTTTTATCTGGCCTGTTTTTCAGGCCAAACACATTTAGTTTCAGCAATAGTACAACTTGTCTTTTTGCAGCAATGTCTGTTACTTACCTTTGATTCTCTTTTGAGCAGATCTATTAAAACTTCATTAGAGTTTAGACAAATGGAAAAGGCCCATCTTCTGAAAATGTTTTCTAACATATATACTGTTTCAATTCCGATCCACACTTCAGCCTTGTACTTCTTATATGAGTGAGCATAATAACATGTTAATGTACTTTTTTTCGATTAGTATACTCAGCCCTCCTATTCACACACCATTCTGCAGACAATCACATAATCCTGCGCCAAGCTACCACCAAAACAATAGGTTCTATATATGGAGCCAGAGTCTAGACAATGCAGTGTACAGTTTATAATTTTTGAGATTTGTTTGCTTTGTAAAATAATTCATAATATAAAGAGGATTGACCTTGGTTTAATATTTTGGATTTCCAGTTAAACTGGCAAATTATTATTATTGTCTTTCAATGAAATATAATATATTCCTGGTTAAAACCAGATAAATCTGCTATTGGGAAACTACTTTGTAAATTTGAAAACAGAATTTTCATTGATTAACTTATTGAATACAATCAAAAGTTAAGCATATACTATACTGAAATTGATAGGTATTTAACTACACAGATAAACATCAAAGACACATTCATTTTCATGGAAATTGAAGAAAGTGATCTTTGGGATATGTTGCTATTTTCCGCTAAGGAGTAATAGCACAATGTGTATTTTACATTAATTGTTTTAATTAAGCTTGTTAGTATTTGTATGCTGAAAAATACATGTATAATTCTAATGATTTGAAACATAACAATAAAATTCTGCCTTACAGGCCATCTCAAGATTAAAATTATTCAATTTTAATGAAGGACAATGTTAAATTAGAACAGCTAAAATTCATATCATGAAAAGCTTCATGTAACATGTTGACGTGAATTTAATGTATTTCAAGCCTTTTTTAGAATAATACTATTTCATTGAATGTAAACACTACTATATTCTAACACACCTATAAATTGTTTTGGAAAACAAAAATATTCCCTATGAATTGTGACATTACTATTATTCTTGCCTATGATAATTCATTTTTTGTATTTCTAGGATTTCTTGTGCAGGATTTCTTACACTTTGTTTTAGAGTTATCTCTAGTATGAATCCAGGGTAGTGTGTCTTGCCACATTTATCTTTGCATATATTTCAGTTCTGGCTTTTTTCACATTTCAGTTTTTCAGTATGTCCAAATTCATTTTTGCATTTGAATTCAACAAAACACAAATAACTCCACATTTTGGTTTTGAATAAAATGTCTTCAATTAAACATGTCAATGCTTTGCTTTTTTATATATATATACATAAGCACTGTATTTATAAAATATTCTATTATGATATCATTGTACTGTAAATATTGGCATACTGTTCTCTTACATTCCATCTTAGGGCAGGCCCTTTTACTGGAGCTTTTCTACCATATTTGAGCAGAAGCAGTAGAACATATGATTAAAGTTAATTTGAAACTTAAAAGCAAATCTTCATTTCCAGTGTGCAAAGCTGTGATGGAAAATATGTTCTTGGGACATTGTTGATACATCTAGAAAATGCAATGTGAGTGGAATAATAGATACTGCTGTTATCCCAAAGTACTATTAAATTCTCTGCAATATATGTTTTTTGAAATGAAACATTTGTTGTAACGTAATATTTGAATCTAATAGTAGAGTGCCTTCTTAAAGGTGCTGTTCAAAATTAACTTTTATATTGCATTTTATATATGCTTTTTATATTATAAATACTCCGCTGATAAACAAAATTTTTATTTTTAGAAAAGTAGTGTCTTTACATACTGTATACATGCATCAACTTTGCAAATTTCTGCTTGTAATACCTGATAGTAGATTAAGTTTCTGGAGTGTTGTACAGATATATTTATGTTTTGAAATCAGTTTTCTTTAGTGTACCATACGTTAGGATAATAAAATTTAAAATCAGTGACTTAAGTTGATATAATTTGTAATGTTGAAAAATATGATTGATTGATCTGTAAGAATGGAATACAAAATTCCTATTCATTTCATGGTATGCTACTTTTTCATTATTGCCTGACTCATATTTTCTAATTACATCAAGAGGAAATTCACAAGGTGATATATTATAAACAACTCAGTAAACTCAGAAAAATAGAATAGTGTAACGGATATAATTTTAATGGAGTTTCCATTCAAAACTTGTTTTAGTTGGCAATTTTATGATCACATTTCCATAAACCAATATAGTATTTCTGTATAGCATATGAATACTTCAGACTGAAAAAATCCTAGGAGTTTTTTATTTATTTCGCTGTGGACTGGCAAAATTTAGGCATAATAAATCATGGTCTGGTTACATGAACAGTTCTCAACAATGTTGGTTCCTTCATCTGCTGTAAGAAATTTTCATCTTTTTTTCCTAAAAATTAACTAAATTTGGATAAACTGGATAAAGACAGATTTGTGGTATTAATAGAAATGTTTTTTATAATCTGCAGAACATATACATGTAATTTACGAGTACAGATTAAACAATAGGAATCTGCCCCTCTATCTTCAACACACATGTAAAAATGTCATGATTGCTGCTTAAATTACTTTTCAGTTACTGTAAGAATAATGTAAGAATTTTGATCCTAACTGCTTTTTGACTTATTGTATCTTGCTTCTTTCTATTCAGCTTGTAATCTCAAAAGTAGGTATTTCATTTAACTGCTCAGATTCTACAAATAAATTAGCCTGACACATTTCTCTAAAAGGTAGCATTCCCACCAAAAGTCATTTGTTTATTTTGCAGTTTTCTCATTCTTTACCTACTGCCAGACATGATTGGGCATAATAGGATGACTGATTTTTTTTTTCATATCATACTGGTCTCAATTTCCTGTTTGGATCCTGAAGTTGTTTTAGCTAAGTATTTTCAGTGTAATAGATTGTTACAAATTTAATAGGTTCAAGTAACTTATGTAGGTCAGACATTCCATATGTCTGCGGTGAAGAACATGTTCTTAAAAATGCTCTTAAGTTCAGTACAAAAAAGAAAGGGGACTCTCCCAATTACTGCCATGTGGGCTAATCAACTACAATGGTACCAATCATCGCTTTCTCTTACATTAATAATGTTGAGTTGTGCCAGAATATCATAAGCTCTTCATAAGTGCAGATTTACTTTAGGTATTTCTGATTTAGGTTACAACTATTTCCTCCTCAGAACTGAGACTGTAAAAATGGAAGTGGATTGATCTTTTGGGGCACAGCCATTTGACCACTTTTGATAAAGCAAATAGGGTTAAATGGCAAAGATATTTTGATACAAGTAGACCCTGTCTATCTAGTACCCAATAACTACATATGTCTGCAGCTTTTGCTTACTGAAGTCCTGTATAAAATGCAACTGTTATTACATCACTATTCTGCAATAGATGCATGTTTTCTTTCTATTTTAATGTTTTTTCTTCATCTTTATTAATTGCTTCTCACTATTTTTGAAATGTTCTTTGTAAATTTTAAAAACAAAGTAAACCTGGAAAACTGTTACATCTGAATATTTTGAAGAATCTGTGTACTCTAATGGCCATTTGGAATATCACTAGTTTTATCCCATGGAATTGGCATTTAGGTTCACTTAACATACCACAGTGAAATATGGTTGATTATCCCTCAGTATGTTGTGTAAACCCAAACAATATGTTAATTTTGGCTTGGTCTTGTATGCAAAGCCAGAAAATTTAATAAAGAGGTAAATAAACAAGTATTCAAGTTTTTAAAAAAGGTTGAGTTAGTGATGAGTTATCTACTTTCACATTGCTTATGAATGTGAATGACAATCACAATGTAAGCAATCATTTAGCCTAGAATGTTCTACAAGCTGTGCCCCTGTGATTTATGATTGTGTGTAGCCAGCAAATGAGGTTGGGTAAAATAATTATATACTGCCCAACTCCCAGCAACATTGGTTAATTCCCAGCAATACTGGAATACAGAGTCCATGTAAAATTAATGATTATGGAAAAATACAAGGATAAAAATACCTGAATTACTCAACAGAATTTGAATATAACTTCCTCTGGCCCTCTTTAATTATACGCTGTTTTGTTGTATTGCATTAAACTCCTAAAATTTATTGTTCCTGTATCAAGGATTTCTATTTCAATCAAAATAATTTTCTAAGTCCCTTTTCCAAGCCAGGATATTTGGTTGTGCTTTTGTCAGTTGATACCATAGCAGAAGGCTAGCTATTTATTGCTTCAATGTATTTTCTGTAGTTTCCAGTCTCAGTGAATCATGGATTTGTGTATGGTTAAGGGATAGCTCAGAGAGTGAGAAAATGTTAATTTGGAATAAAAAGGAAAGAATAATCTATTGTTGTAAAATAAATACTATCCACAAATCCAAAACTGGATAAATCTCATTCCAAAACAATTGGATAGAAACCTCGGGCCCTGTTTTACTCTCCTCTTGAGTCCATCTGGTTTTACCATGTTGGAAGAAAAATCCTTCTGGGTTCAGTTCCAAGTGGGGAAAAAGACGCTGGAAACATGGAGGCTGGTTGGAAGATTTAATGGTGGACAGGACCACATGGCCTGGAGCTCCAGAGTGAAAAGGAAGGATGATCACATGCTTCAAGGTGAAGGAAGAGATCAAGAAAGGGGCTGAGGTGCTGAGAGTGCCTGGGTTTTATAACCTTTGTTGGGATTTGAATTGAAGCTTGTTTCTAATTGGTTGTCAGATACAGATACAGATAATCAGAGTTGGAAGGGACCTTGTAGGTCATCTAGTCCAACCCCTCCGCCCAAGCAGGAGACCCTACACCATTTCTGACAAATGGCAGTCCAATCTCTTCTTGAAAGTCTCAAATGATGGCACTCCCACAACTTCCGAGGGCATGCTGTTCCATTGGTTGATTGTTCTGTCAGAAAGTTTCTCCTTATTTCCAGGTTAAATCTCTCCTTGTTCAGTTTCCATCCATTATTCCTTGTCTGGCCAAGCGCTTTAGAAAATAGCTTGACCCCTTCCTCCCTGTGGCAGCCCCTCAAATATTGGAAGACAGTATCATGTCTCCCCTGGTCCTTCTCTTTACTAGACGAGCCAAGCCCAGTTCCTGCAACCATTCGTTGTATCTTTTAGCCTCCAATCCCCTAATCATCCTGGTTGCTCTTCTCTGTACTTTTTCTAGAGTCTCAACATCTTTTTTATAATGTGTTGAACAAAACTGGATGCAGTACTCTAGGTGTGGTCTTACTAAGGCTTTATAGAGTGGTATTAGTACTTCCCTTGATCTTGATTGTATCCCTCTGTTAATACAACTTAGGATTGCATTAGCTTTTTTGGCTGCTGCTGCACACTGCTGGCTCATATTTAGCTAGTTGTCCACTAAGACTCCAAGATCCCTCACAGTTACTGCTATTGAGCCTGGTTTCACCCAGTCTATATGTGTACTTTTGGTTTTTCTTGCCTAAGTGTAGGACTTTACTTTTTTCTACATTGAATTTCATTTTATTAGATATGGCCCAGTGTTCTAGTCGGTCAAGATCCATCTGGATCTTGAGCCTATCTTCTTGGGTGTTAGCTATTCCTGCCAGCTTAGTATCATCTGCAAATTTGGTAAGTTCCCCTTCTATTCCCTCATTTAAGTCATTAATGAAGATATTGAAGAGTACTGGGCCTAAGACGGAACTTTATGGCACCCCACTGCTTACTTCCCTCCATGTAGATTTAGACCCATTAAGGACTACTCGTTGAGTACGGTTTGCCAGCCAGTTGCAAATCCATCTAGTGGTGGTGCTACCTATTCCACTTTTTTCTAGCTTACTAAGAAGTAGGTTGTGGTCTACTTTGTCGAATGCCTTGCTGAAATCTAAATATATTATGTCCACAGTATTTTGCTGGTCTACTAATTTAGTCACTGTATTGAAGATTGAAATAAGATTGGTTTGGCATGATCTGTTTTTAACAAACCCGTGCTGATTGCTAGTTATTACTTTACTTGTTTCTAGATGTTGGCAGATCTGTGTTATTATCTTTTCCAGTATCTTCCAGGTATTGATGTTAGGCTGATTGGTCTATAGTTTCCTGGGTGTTTTTTTTCCTTTTTTGAAGATGGGAACCACATCAGCTCTTTTCCAGTCCTCTGGTAGTTCCCCGGTGCTCCAGGATTTTTGAAAGATATGGTGCAGTGGTTCTGAGATGACCTCTGCCAGCTCCTTTAAAACTCTGGGATGTAATCCATCAGGCCCGGTGATTTGTTTTCATCAAGATCAGACAGGTGTTCTCTTACTATTTTTTATTTTTTTTTGCTTATTTTAACTTTTATTTCTGGTCTGTCTTTTACAGTTATGTTTTGGTGGGTTGAGCTATAGTTTCTTTTTGCGTGAAGACGGATGCAAAGAATGAGTTAAGCAGTTCTGCTTTCTCTCTGTTGCCTGTTATTCCTTGCCATCTTCTCTCTTTAGTGGACCGACTGTTTCCTTGATTTTTTTCTTGTTATTTATATGTTGGAAGAAACTTTTTTTTATTATCTTTGACTTTTGTTGCAAGTCTTTGTTCATTCTGAGCCTTTGCTATCCTGACTTCGTCTTTGCAGATTCTGGCTATCTGCTGATATTCTGCCTTAATTGTATGTCCTTCTTTCCATTTTTTGTACTTGTCCTTTTTTTCTTTCAATTTGCCAGAGATCTTTGTGCAGCCATGCTGGTTTCTTCTTGGATTTCTTTTTTATCTTTCTCAGTGCTATTGTGCTGGTCTGGGCTTCTATGATCATACTTTTTAGAGTTTCCCAAGATTCTTGAGTTGTTTTCCCCTTTAGGATTTTCCCAAGTTCTCTCTGAGTTTATTGAAATCAGCTCTTTTACAATCCAAGACTCTGGTGTCATTATGTTCTGTTGCTTGTGTTAAGTTGAATTCTAGTATAACATGGTCACTCTCACCCAAGGTTCCTGCAGTTTCAACTCCCTCTATCACTTCTTCTCTGTTTGTAAGAATTAAGTCCAGTATGGCTGTCCCTCTAGTTTCGCCCTCTACCTTTTGGACAACAAAGTTGTCAGCTAGGTTGGTTAGGAACTTATTTGATTTCTCACTTGGTGCAGACTCCCTTGAGGCCATGCAGGAGCAACTCTGTAGGCTGTCCTGAGTTCCAGGCATGGTTAAGCCTTGCTGGATGATGATGCACTGAGAAGGGCTTTTGGCAATTGCTATAGCTTTACTTTTATTTATTTATTTGATTTGTCAATTGCTTACAAGATAATAGGTATAAGTATATAGTTTTGAATACATGAAATGGATACATAGAAGAAAAATAAAAAGAAACAATAAGACAGGGACGGTAGGCACGTTGGTGTGCTTATGTACGCCCCCTACAAACCTCTTAGGAAAGGGGTGAGGTCAATAGTAGACAGTCAACCTGCCAAAGGTTAAAGTTTTTGGGCTTTGGGGAAGAAACTACAGAGTCAGGTAGAGTATTCCAGACATTGACCACTCTATTGCTGAAGTCGTATTTCCTGCAATTACCTGGAGATCTTTGTTAGGTAAAGTATTCTGGCCCAGGCCTTAATAGCCCAGCCATTAACAAAGGTGGGGGTGAGTTTCTGCTTCTGAGTTTCTACTCTTTTTAGGGGAAATATTCTGCCTTTTTAATATTTACTAGGATATTTCAATTTTCTAGGACGGGGTGGGTGCTAACATTCCTTCAACCAAAGATACGATGTATGCTATCTGTTCCCCTTCCCCGCGATCTGGTTCTGCACACCCGCATCTCAGTTCCACGGTTAGCGGGCATGCAGCACCCTTAACGTGCATTCCGTGGTCTATCCGCCTCATTTCTCGGTTTCGGTAAAAATCCGCAAAGCGAACCAGAGCTTAACGGAGGAGAAGCGGGCGACAGCTTCAGTGAGGAAGTATCTCTTGCCATTTTTCTTTTCCCCGGACGCTGAGCCCGGCATGCCGGTTGACTCCCTGGGAGAACTCGCGAAGAGAACCGCTTTGCATCCCAGCCGCCGTCAATCCGCTCGCGCCGGGCAAATCGGCGCCAATACCCGTCACCGAGGCAACGCGGGAGCTCCGCCTCCTCCTCCTCCTCCTCCGCACTCCCGTTAGCCTTCGGGGCCAGTTCTCGCGAGGCTTGCCAACTGGAGGGGCCGCCATATTGTGTGACACTATTTTGATTTGGACTTGGCTTGGCAGCGAGCGGAGGAGGAGGAGGGACCGGAGCCGTTCCAGGCGAGTTCGGAGAAGGCGGTGCCTGGAAGATCCTCCCATCCTCACCAGCCATCCCGCCTTTCCCCGCCCTGCCCGCCACAGCAGCAGCAGCAGCAGCAGCAGCCCAAGCACGGACACCCCCCCTTGCTCCCTTCCCCCGGTGGCGGCGGGAGGCGGCGACGGCTCCGGAGTGGCTCGGAAGGGTCGCCTGTCCGGTTGGAGGCGGCGGTGGCGGCGAGTGCCGCTGCTGCGGGGGACGGAGGAGGAGCCCGCGCGGAGGAAGGGTGAGCGAAGTCGGCTGCGGCGGGCCTGGCGGGACTCTGGCGGCCGCGTCCCCGAAGGGGCTGTCCGCCAGGCGGCCAGGAGGGAGCGCGGGGACCCGCTGCCTGTCTGGGCCCGGCTGGCCGCGGTGCCCGGGGGCGGAGGGGGGGGCGTGTGCAGGCCCCGCTGGGGAGAGGAGGAGCCGGGCTGAGCTTCCGCGGTCTGCCGGGGAGCTCCGCCGTTCGGTCCGAAGGCTAGGAAGCGCCTGCCCATCCGCCGACCGGATTCGGAGCCCCTTCGGAGGCGTCCCGGGAGGCGACGGGCCTTTTTTGGCCTCCTTGACTTGGAAAGCTTTTCTTGCGCTGGTTCAGTTTTCTCTTGGGCGTCGGATCTGCTTGCGCTTCTCCTTCTCCCCGAAGAAGAGGTCCTGCTCTTGACCCCCAACTGTCCCCAATTTAATGGATGTAGGGAATGTGGCACTGATTGTATGTATACGTGTAGGTGTTCTTACGTTGTGTTTTGTTCTATTTAAGAAATATTTAGGCTATCCCGAGTGCTTATGATAAATACCTAAAATGTGCCATTTTTAAGATTTAAACATAGCCTGAGCAAAAGCTCCTTTGTAAAGGGAGATAAAGGAATATTTTACTTGTTAGATCAAGGATCTTCAAACTTGGCCAGTTTAAGACTTGTGGACTTGAACTCCCAGAATTCCTCCTCCAGTCATGTTAGCTGAGGAATCCTGGGAGTTCAAGTCCACAAAGTCTTTAAAGCTGTCAGGTTTGAAGACCTCTACGTTGGATTGATATCCTGCATTTTTTAAGGAGCTTGTGTTGATGCACATAGCACTCAGTCATCACATTCTTTTTCACCATCTCAACCCCTCTGGGATAGATTGGGATTGGAAAAGAGAATGACTGGATCAAGTCACCTGCTGAGCTTCCTTGGCTGAATGAGGGAACTGAAGCAGGGTCTTCCCAGTGTTAGTCTCAGCAGCTTAATCACTATAAGATACTATCTGTTCAGATCTGTGGTCTAAAAACTCTACAGAACAAAATAAAGCTTTCAGGTGCTGGGATGAGTGGAAAGGCAGGTTATTGAAGCAGGAAATTCCAAAATTTTAGCTGAGAAGGCCATGTTTAATCAGCAATCTATCAGGCAGGATATGTTAGATCCTAGAGATTAGTTGGGACATCTGGGAGAGATTGAGCACAGGTGTATCCTTGTCTTAATATATACCCTGTCCCCTAATTTCAAAATTTGGTTCAAGCAATATTCACCTACTAAAGTTTTAGAAATTGCTTATTTTATTTGAGTACTAATGCTCCTGGATGTGAGTAAGGTGTACGTGATGATGACTAAATCTCCAAAAATCTAAGCTGAATGAAAACATCCCTGTGCATAATCGTTACATCAGCGTCAGAAGCAAAGTACTCTTAGATTAGATCTTGAGGCTAATTTTCAATAAGAGCACAGCTTTGTCAAGGCTATACATACATTTTGTGTCTGCATTTCTGCTGAGCAATATAGTTCATTCCCAAATTTAAGAGGCTTTTCTTCTCAATTACCAGTTGAGAACATCTCTGGGGTTTCTGATCTTCAGTGATAGTGATAATAAGAATTAATGTGGGCAAAGATTATGGGATGTCTTCCAAAGGTTTTGTGCTCAAGTCAGGTTCAGCCAGCATGATCTCAGATCCAAAAATGTGGATGGAAAAAGTTTTCTTTCTACTTTTGTAGAAAGAAATTTCAGGAGCTGTTTTTGTTGCTGTTTCTTGCAGTATAACTTTCTTGAAAGAATCACAAATACTATTGCTAATATCTCACTTGATCACAATGTAGCTGTCTGAAAAATGATGATCCTGATTTTAAAAATCAATATGAACATATTAAGGTTTATTTTCAGCAAAATGTAATAAGTGTTCTTTTGAGATACATACCAGTGGTTTTTTTTTCCACTATAATGCTTTAAACTTTCTTTTGATTGGACTCAAGTAAAGTGTAAAAAAATGTTGCTCATCTCTTCATCGTTATTAAATTTCCAATTAGAAAAGTTTATGATTTATTTTAACAGTTAATTATATTTTATCAGATTTTCCTTTGTAGGTGTGTTCTGGTTAGTACAGTTACTTATAGATGAAATTCTTACTCGTCCTCGGTTTACCAGCCTTTATTCATTGTTCAAAATTACAGTGGCATTTATGAACAGATTATGGCCAGTCCTCAAAGTTGCGATCATCCTAGTGCCCCTGTGGTTGCCTGATTGCAGTTGGGGCATTTAGCAGCCAGCTCACAATTTTGATAGTTACAGCATCCCATGGTCCCATGATCACCATTGCCAGTTTCTAATAAGCAATGTCAGTGGGGAAGCTAGCAGGAGGTCACAAATGGTGAGCACATGTCTTCATGCCTAACCACCACATGGGATTCACCTACCTGCAACTGAAATAATTAGAACTGCCATTGTAAGTCAGCACAGTCACGTTACATCACACTTTACAACCATGACACTTATTCACTCAGTTCCTCATCCCAATAGTTGTTAACTAAACACTGAATAGGCCACGGGTGTCAAACTCGCCACGTCAGGTTTTCACATGATGTATCACGACTTTCCCTTTTGCTAAACTGGGGGTGGGCATGGCCAGCATGTGATGCATCCAGCCTGCAGATCACGAGTTTGACAGCCCTGGTGTCCATACCCTGGTACAGACTTTCATTTCATTCTTACATTTTTGGGGTGATTAGTTGATTTAATTTTATCTAGCTAAAAGTGATTTTTATTTGTATAAACACATGATTTTTTGATTATGTTGTTAAAATAAAGGTTTGTGCCCAGTATGTTGTGCTTGTTGAGAGCCTTGTAAATTAAAATTCCCAACAATTAATATTGACATTAATATTGACATAGCACTCATGGTGAAGTGTGAAATTTGATTTTCGTTAAATAATATGCAAAAGCTCTGGACTCATTTACATAGGAGAATGTTTAACATAAATCAGCAAGGGGTGAGATATTCTGTGTATCTCAAAATAATATAAAGTAACAGACAAGGGTTCTCCAGCCTTTTGGTGGGCATATTTGACATTTGAAATATATACTGCACATTCAAAATATCTGCTAGGAGTTTAACCATTTATGAATTGTCTATTGAGTCACATCAGAAAGCACCATTTTACTAAAATATTGCCTGTCACCCTCTCTCACTTCTTGTCCTACAGGATATCTGTATTATCTGTTTTCTTTTTCTGGGTAAATGAACATACTTTGGAGTCAGGCCATCATTTTTATTACCACCCCCAAAAAGTCTGGGGTTAGAGACATTTTTAGAACATGTGTTGAGTTTGATCCCAAGTGGCATCAAGGCTGGTAACCACTTGTATAAAACTGCTATGCTATTTGTTAGACTTGAAAGTCAGAAAATATCCTGGAAGAAAGTAATGACAATCATATATTGCTGCCCAGAAGGCTACGTAGATATAGGCCATGTAATCTCCACTGCCCAGAAGGCTACATAGATATAGGCCATGTCATCTCCACTAGTTGTGTTCAATATAAATGAATTTTCCTTTTACTTAACCATTCCAAATGACTTTGCTATCTTAGAATGCCTTGTCTTTGGAGATAGGACTTTGTGGCAGAATGTAACTATTCTAAAGTATTAAAATTATTGTTTCTCAATAGAATGTGTATCAAAGTGGATTAACAATAAGCAAATTTCTCCCTTCTATTTTTTAAAGTGATAGATAACTCTTCTTTTGAATTTTATACCCTGACGACTTTTTATCTCGAAGTTACAGAAGGTCTTCATGGGTTTTTTTTCTAGCTTTATGTTGACTATGAGTCTTGTGATGATAAGTGAGAATGTGAAGCTAGCACGTGAATATGCATTGCTTGGGAATTATGATTCTGCAATGGTTTACTATCAGGGAGTGCTTGACCAAATGAGCAAATACCACTCTTCTGTCAAAGATACGTATCTTCAACAGAAATGGCAACAGGTGAGCTTTCATTTTCTGCTTTTGTTCCTTTACCTTCATGTATTAAATAGGATGATCAATCAAAAACATTTCAATTGGTCCCCACTTTAAACAATGAGCTAAATTGAATAAACATGCCTATTGCTGAACACTAGTGAATTACAAGGGTGAATACAAAAATAATAATTAACAGAAGTTTCTATTTGTGGTTGGAAAGAACTCTTTGAAAAAGATAAAATAAAACTGGCTTCAAAAACACCTCCAACCTTCTGCATCCTGTTTGATTAAAAGTGTTACTTGGTTAATCTAAAGCTACCTGCTATCTTGAGCTGGTGTAATTAATTTGGAAATATGCCATGTACATGTGTGAGCATTTCTTAGATTGTCCCACTTCAAATTGTGTTATTTTTAAAAGCATTCATACATTATGCTTTTTTTCTAAAAGGTTTCCCGCAAGAATAGTCAGCAGAATTGCTTCTCTGTAATAGGCCTCATCAGTTTTCTATAATGTCTTACAGAGTTAACAATTTGTTCATGTATCTGAGCCACCAACATTTCATTAGGTACTTAAAGTTGACAAGTTTCTACAAGCTAACTTTATGCTTCTTTGTATTTTATGTTTTTAATCAGGTTAGGCAGGAGATAAGTATAGAAGCTAAGCATGTGAAGGATATCATGAAGACACTGGAAAGTTTTAAATTAGACAGCACTCCTTTAAAAGCGGCACATCAGGAATTACCAGCTCATGATGGAGAAGTTTGGTCGTTGCCTGTACCTGCTGATCGTAGGTAAGAGACACCATGAGGGGAAAGCAGATTACGGGGTTCAAATATAAAATGTTTTAAAAAGTATGTTACATGTTGTTTTTGAGCCTCTAACCTGTAACTCCAGAAGCATTCAGTGCTATCTCCTACCAGTAACAGGGCTCCAATGAATGATTGAATCTGTTTTCTAGAAACAACTAGTATGTGCAAAAACAATGTTATGGAATTATAACACATTTGTACAAAACATAGATTCTGAGAGATTGGGGGGAGGTGTAATCTTGAATATATTTAAATATTCTAGGATAAGAATATCCTACAGTTTTCCCCATTTTGTATTCATTCAGATCTTCACCAGGGCCTAGGAAACGTCAGTCAGCTCAGTGCAGTGATTGCAGAAATCAAAATAACCGGGTTGGAGCAGCTGCTAGAGTCCTTCATCGACCTTCTTCCCGAAGTACTAATGATAAAGGCAAAGTTGTTCGTGGTCGGGAAAAGAAAGATCCATTAAATAAAGGAAAAGAGGAAAAAGTAAGTTTCTTGAATGTGAAACCAACACCTCCAAATCTTATAAAGTATCCCTCTTATCATTTGAGCCTCTTTTTGGTCTTTCACCTACCAGCATTTCTAGTGGAAAGAACCTGTGTAGAAGTTTGATGAAGATGTTTTAGAAGAGAAACCACAAATAATAGTGTAATGTACTGCTTATTCAGATTAGGGTATATCTTACTTATTTTTACTTAAGAGATTTATATAGTTACCCATCATATATACAATAACCCTTGACATTTCACAACAATAAAACATTTATTTATCATCTAGCTATCTCATTTCTACACCATACATCTCACCTAGATAATTAAGTTAACACTAAAACATAGAGGAAAAAATAAGTCTCATACTACAGTATGAGTTGCACTTCTTCCAGTCCATGTGAAATGGAGGAAGTCCATGAGATGGAAGAAGTTATGATATTACTACGCAAACACTACGTTTGCTAGCTTGTTGCCATCCCAATCAATGCATGAGGGATGAGCTAGGTCTTTATGGCTTTCCAGAAAGTTAAGATGGTAGCAGCTCTTCAGATGTCAGTGAGGAAACTGTTTTAAATTGTTGAGGAAGATACAGAGAAGGCGGGTCTGGAGCATGCTCACCCTATCAAACCCAGTGGGATAGGCAGATACCCTCAGTAAGAGACAGTCATGCAAATAATCTTACCTTGTATCATTCAGGTTTTTAAAAACGACAACCAACATTTTGAATTCCACATGGAAAGAAAGTGGAAGCAGTGTAGCTCACAAAGCAATGTAACATGGACAAATTGTGGAGTGTACAGGACTGTGCATACTGCTGCATTCTGGATCAGTTGTAGAGCACAATGAGTAATCTAGTGGAGAAGCAATCTAGTGCATACTGCTGCATTCTGGATCAATTGTAGAGCACATTGAGCAATCTAGTGAAACATGAGAGACTGTGGGCAAGTCCTTGCAGTCCAGTGCAGAAGATGATTCCACTTCACAAAGAGCCTTTTAGCAGTGATTGACACCTGCTTCTTGGGCAGGACCCATTATCCAGGAACACCCCCAAACTGCAAATCAATTTTCTCTAGGAGAATACTATCCTGTCAAGAGTCAAAAATGACAATTTGCAGTAGGGGCAAAAACCCAAAGCCACTCCATCTTCCTGAGGTTGAGTCCAAGCCAGTTTCTTCCCATCCAGACCTTTATGGCCTCAAGTGACTGGGCAAGCACTTGAAACAGGACCAACTGTCTGATGTGGAGTAGAGAGATATAAAGGAATACCATTGCATGCTGATGATACTGTTCCTCATGCCATCTGTTTACCTAGTAGATTCAGGTAGATATTTAAAAAGTTAGAGATATGAGCCATCAGAACTATACAGGAATTTGAGCCTAGGCTTCTCGCCAACTACCAACCTTAACTGGAACTAGCCATGGATAAAAGAGAACTACCAGAAAAGAGAGATACCGTATATACTCGAGTATAAGTTGACCCGAATATAAGTCGAGGCACCTAATTTTACCACAAAAAACTGGGAAAACTTATTGACTCGAGTATAAGCCGAGGGTGGGAAATGCAGCAGCTACTGGTAAATTTCAAAAATAAAAATAATTAATTTGGGAAACGATCTCACTATCATGAAAGGTTTAATTGATTCACTAACCCAAAAGAAGAAGATGATGATGACAGCGGGAGGCAGGAGTCACTCTCTTCCCCTCCCCTCGGAGGCCCCCTGCGTCAGGAGTCGCTACCGCCGGCGCGGCCCCAGTCCCGCATCGCCTCGGGAAGGGAAAGGCAAAAAGGAAGAGCTCAGGCTCAGCGGCTCCTGGTTTTGCCCCACCCTTCCCAAGGCAACGCGGGACCGGAGCCGCACCGGCGGCAGCAACTCCCGACAGCCCCAGCCGGACACCTGAGCAGAGCCCGGGCGGAACTGCCTGTTGCCGCTGCGGGAGCCCGGCTGCCCAAGTAAAGAACAGGGCGGCGCCGGACCATCGGAGAAGCGGAGCAAAGCCGGAGACCAGCAGCCGCCTCCCTCGGCGCAGAAAGCCTCCCCCAACCAGCCGGCCGGTCTCCTCCTCCTCGGCCACACAGAAGTAACAGGCAGAGAAGGAGGAGAGCAGCTGGCCAGCCGGGGGAGGCCTCCCGTGCTGCGAAAGAGGCAGCCAATGATCTCCGGCGCCGCCCTGCTCCACGCGCTGGCTGCTCGGACTTGCCGGGCCTGGCACATA